TGGAGGTTGTTGAACGACAACCCCCATCATCCCTGGCCATCAGCCATGCATGCTGGAGCCGATGGGAGTTGTAGTTCATCAACATCTGGAGGAGCAAAGGTTCTGCGCTCCTGCTGTTGGCAGCGCTAAGGTAGATGGAATAATGACTCGGTATAAGGCAGTTTCTTGTCTTTCCCGCTGCAGCTGATGTTCAGGCTGTGAGTGCCATTGCTTGTGTAACCGAAATGACTCTGCCCACATATAATAGCAGACTTCGGACAGCCTCAAGGTTTGCAGAAGCACAAAAATATATATATTAAAAAATTGATTCACAGTGTGATGAACCTCAACAACTGTCCCACGAGGACTGTGTGTGCTCAGTGGCCCTAGAAGGCCCCGCTGTCTATTTGTGGAGAACAGAGCATGGGGAAGGGTGACTGCAACAAAGTGGCTAACATTCCTGAACAGCAGCACTCTGCGCTGCAACATTTTGTTGCAGGTCCCATTTAGCTTGTTATTATCGCTTATTATTTTAAGGACCCCACTGAGCAGTTGTCCATCCCAGCTGTGGGAATGTATAATTCTTCAGAAGGGAGAATGAAAGGGCCTTGGGAACTGGGCAGCCTTTGCCAACCTGGTGCCCCCCAGATGTTTTGGACCGCATCTCCCGTGAGCCCCAGCCAGCACATTAGGGCTCTCACACCCCTCACCACCTGAAATGCCACCTGAACAGAGCACTTCAGCCCCAGCTAGCGGCTTTGAGGGAAACGAAGTGTCTCTCTGTCCTCATCTCTCTTTCCGCGAAGCTTGTTTAAGATGCTGCTAATGGAGACACGCTCGGGTGATAATGCGATTGCTTGAGACACGACAAGGGAGATGGCGAGGCCCATTGATCGGAGCACAATGGCAAAAGCAATGTAATTATTTGGGGGCTTGGCAGTGTGATTCCCTCCCCGTGGAAGCAGCTGAGTAGATAGCCGTCAGCAGAGGAAAAGTTGCCTGCCTTGGAGGCTGCGGGAACTGAGATGTGACGCTCCCCTTCCTCTCAATGGCTTATCTCTGCAGAGAGGATTACTTACACTTTCCCACTTGCACAATGCCACTGTAGCAGGTTTCCAAATCAGGTCGATAAGAACAAGAAGCTGCCTTATGTATGGCCACTGACCCTTCTAGCTCAGTGTTGCCTACACAAACTGGCAGCACCTCTCCAGGTTTCAGGCAAGGAACCTTTCCCAGCACTGAGTGAAGATGCCTTGGATTGAATTTGAGACCTTCTGCATTCAAAGCAGATGCTTTCCAGCTACAGCCCTTGACGTGATCAAACCCACAGTGCCATTAGCAGCAAGGATAAGGTATTTTGCCAACACAGTTTGCAGAGGACAAGATGGCAGCCCTCCCCTTCCGTGCACTGAAGCTGACCAGTTGAATCTTCCTTCAATATTGGGGTTGAAGCAGAGTTGAAGCAGAGTCACCTAGATGCAGCAGGTAAACCGAGGACAGGCCATGTGATATATACACTCTATCCTCCATTGTCTTGTTGCCACTCCCTACCCCACTGTGTTTGTTGTCTGATGTGGCCACCTAACTCTACCTAATGGTAGGGCCGGCCAAAGTGCTGGGCCAAGGCAGTGAGGCTTGGCCACCAACATACTCAGAATTGTAGCTCAGCAATAGTAGGGGCTTTGTTTCATTCAGAAGGCTACCTACCAAGTGGTAGGTAGGTTGGTGATAGGAAGGACTTCTCATTGCCTGAGACCTTGAAGATCCACTGCCAGTCAAGGGAGACAGATAGTTTGGCCCACTGTAACAGGGTGAGGGAACCTCATGCCTGGGGGCTAAATTGCCCTCCAAATCTCAGGACTCTCCCCAGCCCATGTCTCCTCACCACCCTTAATTTGCATCATTGACTGGCTGGAATGTTCTTCTTAAGACCTCTTGCTTGCCCAGGGAGAGGATAGAGTAGAAGAAAGCAGGGGTTTGCAGTACCAACCCCTCTGATTGGCAGCCAGTATGAAACATTCGGATTGGCTGGGCCTTTTACCTTTGACTGATTGACAGGCTGTTACTCCAGCTCGGGGAGCAACTGATCTCAGGGGCACCAAGGATACACACTTCAAGTGCAGACCTGGGCACAGCCCAGCACTGGGAACCATGTGCATCAGTGCATTCGCTGCAAGAGCAAAGCAAACTCCTTGTTCTTCCCACCTCTGTCAATCAAGGCGCATCGAGGAGGGTGTAATTAAGCATTCAATCTGCGCCTTCCCCACAGACGTTGGGCCGGCTCGGAAGCGACGTGGCTCAAAGCCAAGGCTGGCTAAGCGAGAAACACAGAAACTGAATATGTGATCATTCCATCATTTCCGATCCCATCACCTATGTTGTGAGCGCAATTTAAACAACTTAGAAGATTTGTGTGGAAGCCGGGCTGGTGCAGACGCTGAGGTCAGGAGAGATGGCAATTATTTATTCTCCTTTATCATGCCGTCTGCAACATATGGGTGTCGCTCCCCACTCCAGATGACTAAACGACGGCAGATGCCACACTATTAGCTTGGTAGAAAAACGCAAATGAGGTGTGGAGGCCCTCCGGTGGTGTTTTGTCATTGTCGTAAAGAAAATCTTGATTCTTCTATCTTGAAGAGACTCCCCATTAGCAATTCAGGCTTTGAGCCTTGAGCCAACCAGAAGTGTGGGGGTGTCTCACTGCAGCCACTTTGGCCCAGGGCTGCCATTCTAGCCCTTAAGAAATTGGGGGTGAAGTAACTCTCATATTTATGGAGCTGAGAGGATGCCGACCCAACTGTTAGGCAGAGTGAGGCAGTTGCCTCAGGTAGCAGATTTTGAGTTCACATCCACTCCATGCATTGAGAGTGCTCTTCCACCAATATAACAGTCATGGAGAATCTTGGGAAGTATAATTTGACAAGGGTACTGGGCACAGTAGGTCTGTGAGATCAGCACCCTTAACCACCTAAGATTCCCAGGATCGTTTGGGGGAAGCCATGACTGTTAAAAGTAGTCTACGTGTTCTTTTAATGTATGGTGTGGATGTGGCCTTTGCCACATTTTTTGTTCATATTTTTACTTCTGTGGAGAGAGGTGCATATGGGATGTTGTTGTTATCATCACCACTACCATTTATCAAAAAAATCCCAGGGCTGGATCTTTTCTTGCATCAAATACCAAAATAATTTGCCTGATCTTTAGTATGCACCCTGACCTTTTTTTGTGGGGGGTGCCATTTCCTGTTCCCCAAAAAAAGTGAGCAAATTCTCTTTCATCAGGCTCACCATTTAAGCATTGCAAGGTGGAGTGGGGGGAGAGAGAGAGATTTTGAAAAACCAGCCTGACATTGAAGTCACAAATAACACACTGTGGAGTTACCCTTTGAGTTGGTCTGGAGGCTAGAGCCAGTGCAGAAGGTGGTGGTTAGGTTGCTGGGGGGGGTGTGATTTCATTTATTTGTTTGTTTATTGCATTTATATCCCACCTTTTTCTCAAAGGAGTTCAAGGTGGCGTACATGGTTCTCTCCTCTTTATTTAATCCCAGCAACAACCCTGGGGGGCAGGCTAGGCTGAGGGGAAGTGACTGGTCCAAGGTCACCCAGCAAGCTTCATGGCTGAATGGGGATTTGAGCCCAGGTCTTCCAGGTCCTAGTCCAACACTCTAACCACTACCCCAGACTGGTTGCCATATATCACCCTGCCTGTGGGTGTTATATAGAACTCAGAAAAGGTTACTTCAGGTAACACCTTATCCCTTATACACCCAGTAGAACAATCTGGTCTGTGGGAGAGTTTCTCCTGCAAGTTCCAAAGATCTCAGAAGCCCCCACACTCCCCAGTGACTCAGAGCAAGGCTTTTATCAAGGCTGCCTATGGAATAGCAACCCTGTCTAGATATGACAGGCATCTACAACCTGCACTTTCTGGAAGCAGTCTAAGACATTTTTGTTCTGATAGGCTTTCCCAGCTGGAAAAATGGATCTTGACCACGAGTGTCCACTTGTTAGGTGTTTAGTGTTGTTTATGGGTTTTTAATTGTTGATAATTATCTTAAGTGTAAATCACCTTAAAGCAGTGCTTTAGAAGGAAATAATAATAATAATAATAATAATAATAATAATAATAATAATAATAATAATAATAATTGTCACAATCTTTAGACAGAGTGTAGGAGATCACAGGCTAGGGCTGCAATCCTATAGCAGGTTTCCTGGGAGTAAGCTTACTGAAAGTGGGACTTACCTTTGAATAGACATGTGTAAGACTACATGGTTTAGGCTCTAGTAGGTATCATGCAAGTTTAACATTGTGCCAGGTTGTAGATTGCTGGGACAGAGATACACACAGTGGCTGATCCACCATTTTGGAAAGTATAAATCCCAGAAGTTACCTGGATCAGTCTCCTACCTTAGGCAATACACCTAGCATGTTCCTTGTTGGGTAGGGGTCTAGGTAGAGAAACACAGAGGTTTTATGTTTGCAAAACTGAAGAATAATTTTAGGAGGTAAAAAATATTAATAAAAGTGGGGAGGGCTGCTTAAAGGTTGGATGGAGATGATGTCATCATGGAAGGTTCAATGTTCAATTCAATTTATTCTATACAGTCCCTTTTTCGGGGAGGGCGCAGGGGGACGCATACCCCTAAACATTTTGTGAATCTAAGTTTGGCCTCATTGAGGGTCAGTATTTCAATATGAGTAGGAAAATGAGAGTACCCCTAAACATTTTTTATGGGAGGAAAAACACTGATTCTATATAGCCAAAGGCCTGCACAGGTTAGATGGAGTGTAACTCTCAGAAAGCAAAATCCTACCTTCAGGTGATAGAAACATCTGCTCCTGCATGGCTCGATTCATCATTCTCTGGGACACACAAAAATCAAAGGGAGCTGTATTGGTCTACTAGAAAAGCACAATTTCAAAACATTCCTCTATCCCTCATAGTTAAAAAAAGAAAAAAGAAATAAAGACAGCCTTCTATATTCTGACTTGAGTCCCCCATCTTTCTTTTGCAGCTGACGTACCTTCCACCTCCATGGGGTGAGTGCCGCTCCTCAGACTTTGGCCTGGACTTCTTTCCCATCTACAGCATCACTGCGTGCAGGATAGATTGTGAGACCCGCTACGTGGTGGAAAATTGCAACTGCAGAATGGTCCACATGCCAGGTAAGGTATTCAGAGATGAGCTTGAAACAGCCTCAGCATGTGCTTCTCCCCTGGTGTCAGGGCTGGCTCTTTTCAAGGGGCCAAGTCCTGGGTGTGAAGCAAAGAGGAGGGTCATAGGTCAGGGGGAGAGCACACAAACAGGCCCCAGGTTCAGTCCCTGTCATTGCCAGGTAAGGCTGAGGAAGATCCCTGTATGAACCCCTGCTGCCAATCATTGAGATATTATTGGGTTAGTTCAGGGGTGAAGAACCTTGTGCAACCTGATGCCCAGATTACCTGGGTAGATATCTCTCAGGGGCTGCATTTTGGGAGTGGGCAGGGCCTGATCCAAAAGTAGGTGGGGGCTGACACAATCACATGCCACCATCTTCTTTATTGCATGCTCATCCCTAGCCTATGGATGCTCAAGAGGCCTCTTTGATGGCCTGGCTGAGTAAGTTTTTTGTTCTCACTTTGATGGTCTTGGGCTTGCTGATCGGAAGGTCGGCAGTTTGAATCCCCGCGACGGGGTGAGCTCCCATTGTTCTGTCCCAGCTCCTGCCAACCTAGCAGTTCGAAAGCACACTAGTGCAAGTAGATAAATAGGTACCACTGCTGTGGGAAGGTAAACGGTGTTTCCGTGCGGTCTGGTATTTGTCTCCGTGGGCCAGCAGCTGTTTAGTCATGCTGGCCACATGACCCGGGAAAATGTCTGTGGATAAACGCCACAACCCCATAGTCGCCTTTGACTGGACTTAACCATCCATGGGTCCTTTGCCTTTACTTACAGGCTGAATCTCTGCCTTGGCATCTCTAAGGCTCCAGATTTTGGACTCTAGTCCTGACACCTGTCCTCTATTACAAACCTCAGTTTACATTATCCTTTTATGAAGACGAGCTCTTTCAGCAGAAGTTGCTCAGGTTTGGTTTTGAACTAGCCCTTTTTTAATGCTTTGGTGTCATTTTGGACCATGCCCTGGTTTAAACCAGCCTTTTGAATAAGGTGTTCCATTTCTGGGATGAATGTATATGTGAAAGAAGCCGCTTGTGGTCGCCACCACACTTTCCATCACTGCCATAGGTAATTGATGAGCAGGGCCTACATTTGTGCTGTTCTACCACCTTCCGTGCATAACTTACTATAGATGTCCAGTGCTGTGTTTCTATGTACTAAGACTCCTCTGGGGGAAAAGAAATGTACTGGGTTCAGCATCCTGCCTTTGGGCACTGAGATAAGACAGTAGAAACTGCTGAGACAATGCATATGAAGATCACTTTAAAATATGCTATTACACATGGATATTGCTTCCTGTACCTGTTCCCCGTTCACTCCTTCACAAATAACCCTACTCATACTCAAGCACTAATTCATGTACCACTCTCTCACACACATAACATTTCACACATTGCCAGACAGATGGCTACTGATGTGATAGTTCTACCTCCTTCCATCTGGTCCCTTGGTCTGGTGCGCTGATAGATTGCTTAGGATTTAAAAAACAAACCAACAAAAAAACCCAAACCCAAACAATTTGAATGTAAGTAAACATTCTGTTACACTAAAGTGAGAGAAGCCTGCTTTCAATAAATCCAAGCCAGGGCTCTTGCACCCAGTAGCTACAGAACCTTTATTCCTGGTAGCAGGAGTCCTCTTTTGGTTTATCAGTTTATTTGACTTTTGGAGGCAATTTGGCAACATCACTATTTTGGTGAAAATCTGTGTGCTTTCAGCTATATGATCCTATGCCCATTTACTTGGAAGTAAGCCCCATTGAAGTCAGTGGGAATGACATCTGAGTAGGCATGCGTAGGATCACTCAGTAAACTTGTTACGTCATTTGGTTTTCTCAGAGTGATAATAGTAAATAATTTTATTATTTATACCCCATCCACCTGGCTGGGTTTCCCCAGCTACTCTGGGCGGCTTACAGCATATCGACAAACATAATTAAACATCATACATTAAAAACCTCCAGATACAGGACTGCCTTCGGATGTCTTCTAAAAGTTGTGTAATTCTTTATCTCCTTGACACCTGAAAGGAGGGTGCTCCTGGGAGTAGTAACTCTCAGGTCCCAACCAACTATCAAAAACTGGATTTGGTTTCCATATATATTGTTGTAACTGCTCAGTCTTACTATATTACTCTTACCAGATTTATTACCTGCCCTGCATCAGGCAGGGGCAGGTGGACAGGTCACAACAATTTCTAATTCAAGATTAAAATCAGTCAAAACAGATTACCATCACAAGAATAGGGGGGACGGGACGATGACCCGAAAACACGCATCTCAGATGTCAAAGGCCAGGGTGAAAAAGCGCATCTTCAGCATCTGCTGTATAGTAAAGGTGCCATATGCACCTATGGAGAGGAAATTCCAAAACTTAGGGGCTGCCATGGACAATGCCCTCTCCTGGGACCCCTCCCCCAAAAAAAAGACTTCTGAGAGAGGTGGAACTACCAAGAGGACCCCCTATGCTGATCTTAACACCTGGGAAGGAGGTGGTCTTTTAGATCTTTGGGACCTGAGTTGTTTGGGGCTTTGAATGCTACTGTGAGAACCTTGAATTTGGTCCAGAAATGAACTGACAGGCAACAACCCCAGCCAGTAATCCTTATTCCAGTCCCTGTAAAGCAGCCTTTCTCAATCTGTGGGTCCCCAGATGTTGTTGAACTACAACTCCCATCACCCCTAGCTAGCAAGGCCAGAGCTCAGGGATGATGGGAGTTGTAGTCCAACAACATCTGGGGACCCACAGGTTGAGAACAAAGCAAGGACTAGTTTCCTAAACTAGTCAGAAAGAAACTCACTGTTGCAAAGTTTGCATAAAAATGTCCCTGTGTGTTTTTTATTTTCTTTGTGTGCAGGAGATGCTCCGTTCTGCACGCCGGAGCAGTATAAAGAGTGTGCAGAGCCTGCGCTAGGTAAGTTCTGAAGGACAAAGGATTCTCTCACTGTCAGTTTCTCAGAATTATTATTAATCTCCCCCCCCCCCGCCTCCAAGGATCTCATTTCAAGCCAGGAATGTGTTTTCAGGGCCTGTGTTCTAGTAACAGTGGGATAAAAAGCAGAACTTGTCGCAGATTTGTTGGACACAAAGGAAGGGTGGGAGGAACCAGCTGGCGAAACCCCCCCCCCCGGAAGAAGCCTCAGAGCCTGGGGATTGGTGGTGGGACGGCGGATGAGTGGTCAGAGGAAGAAGAACGGATGGAGGAGGCGGAGGAAGCTGAAGAGGTGGCAGGGCTTAGTGAGCTTGGGAGAGTCTGTGGAAGAGGAAAGTCAAGAATTAGAGGCAGAAGCTGAAGCAGGAGAGGAGATGAATCTGGCTGGTGAAGAGGCATGCCAAGCACAGGGCTGTCAAAAAGCCCCTTGTGTTGCGGTTCCCAAGCGCCCAGCAGCCACCTGCCAAAGGGACACTGACAGATGAGTTGTCCTGCCCACATGTCAAGAGTTGGCCTGTGAGAAGGGGAACAGACAGCTGTTTGGCCCATTGGGTCCAAAAGGTTCCCCCACCCTTGATGATGGCGAGTAAAGCAAAAACTCCCCTTACGCTTGCATCTCTGAGCTGGTAGTTCCGCAGATAACCCATCTATCTGGTCCCCACTTTGCCTTGCAGTGGTTCTTGGTGAAAAGGACAGCAGTTACTGTGTGTGCCAAATGCCGTGCAATTTGACGCGCTACAACAAGGAACTCTCCATGGTGAAGATCCCCAGCAAGACCTCAGCCAAGTACCTGGAGAAAAAGTTCAACAAGTCAGAGAAATACATCTCGTAAGTAGGCCCATTTCTGTCAGGGCTAGAATGATGTTAAGCAGCCCAAGGAGAGGCTCTTGCTTGTGGTGTCCCAGCACAGAGGGTTGTAGCCAATGTTAGCCCTACTCAGAGTAGACCCATTGAAGCTAATGGCCGCGACTGCCCTGCGCCCAGTAATTTTAATGGGTCTCCTCCACATGGAACTCCATGTATATGGTGATTGATTGCCAGGCCTCAACTAGGTCAGTCTCTAGGCTGTCGGGTTTGGGAAGTCAGGGAGCTGGCTGCCCGTCCCCTCCAGTGGCCCAGGCAGGGCGCCTAGTCAAAGGCTGGCAGTAGTCAAGATCCAACATAGCAACAGAAGGGGCTGGAAGCAGTTGCATTGTCCTTTTTTGTAAATAAATTTTTATTTGATTTTTAAAAATATAAACATACAACAAAAACCAATTCAAAATCCAAGATTACTCTGAATCTCCTAATTCCTAGTCTCTGAATCTCCTAATTCAAAAACCAATTCAAAATCCAATCAAGATTACTCTGAATCTCCTAATTGCCCCTCATCCCTTCCATGGGTCTTGTTGATAATATTTCCAACCCCATATCAATACTTCTCTGATTTTTTTGTCTTTCTAAATTATCCATACATTCCGTTACATTACAAGTATGGTTAAAATCCTGCCAATGTTTTCACCTGCTTACAATGCTCTCGTATATAAATTATAAACATTTCCCATTCCTTTTTAAAGATCTTGTCTTCTTGATTCCTGAGCTTCCCAGTTGAGTTTTGCCATTTCGGCATAGTCCATCAACTTGGTTTGCCATTCTTCTCTGGTCGGGGTTGTCTCTTCCTTCCATCTCGGGGCTGGTAGTATCCATGCGGCCGTTGTCGTGTACATGAACAGTCTTTTCTGGTCCTTTGGACTCTCTGTACCTATAATTCCTATTAAGAAAGCTTCTGGTGAAGCAGTTGCATTGTCAAAAGGCAGGCAGAGGCCACAATATTCAAGGCAGCAACGAGGCAAGCGGCACAGAAGCTAAGCACAGTCATTACACTCAGGGCAAGTTGCTGAGGCTGAGGAGCTAGCTCTGAGCGCTGGGCTTCTTCAGGCGTGGTCTGCTTGGCCAGCTGACTGGATGCTGGTATTGCACGCTCACCATAGGGACTGAGCGCCGATGGTACTGACATCTGGGAGTTCTAGAGCTACACACACCTACGTGCATGTTGCCTCCCTGGAATTTTGCCCTGTTAGTTTATCATGGGGCAAATGAGCAGCCGTAGAGTGGAAGGGAGAATACTGCCAACCTTAGGTGGCCGAACACAGGTGGCGCTGTGGGTTAAGCCCCAGAGCCTAGGACTTGCCGATCAGAAGGTCGGCGGTTCGAATCCCTGTGACGGGGTGAGCTCCCGTTGCTCGGTCCCTGCTCCTGCCAACCTAGCAGTTCGAAAGCATGTCAAAGTGCAAGTAGATAAATAGGTACCGCTCCAGCGGGAAGGTAAACGGCGTTTCCGTGCGCTGCTCTGGTTCGCCAGAAGCGGCTTAGTCATGCTGGCCACATGACCCGGAAGCTGGGCGCCGGCTCCCTTGGCCAATAAAGCGAGATGAGCGCCGCAACCCCAGAGTCGGTCACGACTGGACCTAATGGTCAGGGGTCCCTTTACCTTTACCTTTAGGTGGCCGAAAGAGAAATCTGCACTATGGTTGTGTACATGCCATACACTTAAAGCACACCCTTACCACGAAGAATCCTGGGAACTGTAGTCTGTTCAGGGTGCTGGGAACTGTAGCTCTGTGAGGGGTAAACTACAATTTCCAGGTTTCTGGTAGGGCGGGGAGAGGTGTTAAATGTATGGTACGTACCAGCTGCGAGCAACTGGTGTCTTCTGACTGAAACTAGTTAGACAAGGGGCAGAAAACGGAAACCAAGATATTCATAGGATTGGAACACTTTCCTTATGAGAAAGGACTTGGAAATTGGGGGGGGTGAGCTGGAGGGGTCAGTGTAGTAGCAGGGAGGGGGGAACCCAGGAATACATTTGGGCGGTGGGGTGCTTGACAGGGGCTTACAAAATTACGCGAGGTGGGGAGAAAATTTAGAGAGAAACATTTTCCTAATAGATTGTCAGGACAGGGCTGTTTTGTTTTTTAAGGTACCCCTTCACAAAACACACATCTTTCTTTTGGGACTTGCTGCTATGAGCTACCTGGAGACTTTGTTTTATTATTTATTAAATTTGTATACCACCCTTCATCCATAGATCTCAGGGCAGTTCACAAGCTTAAAGATACAAGATGAAAACAAAAAAAAATGTTAAAAAAAAACACCCCCAAAGAACTACAACCCACAAACCATATTGGATCAATCTGTGGAGGAGGAGAGGTCCATCAGGAGCTAAAAGTCACAACAGCCATATGGATCTTTCTGGTTCAGAGATGCTGCAACACTGAATTCCAGTTTGGGGGTAGGTGGGTGGAAGGAAGGAAGCAGCTGAGGGGTGTTATTGCCTTCAAGCTCTGCTTAGAAGACTTCTAGAAGTGCCTGGTTGAAAAAAGAATTATAGAGGGACCTCTGGTCAAGATCTAGTGGGGCTCTTATGTATGTTAATGTATCTGGAATATTTGGTGCCTTGGTTTTCAAGTCCCAAAGGAGCTGGCAGTGTAGCAGCTTACAAGCAGCTTATGTTTTTTAATCAACCGAATATTGTTATTTATTTTTTGGTGGGCGGTGGGGAAGAGCCTTGAGGATGGAGGAGGTGTAAGTAAAAGCAGTACGCTTCGGTTGTCTAGAAGCCGCAAGGCGCGTTGACAGACTCCCTACCGATTACATAATATCTCTTTCCCTTGGGATGGCCTGACCCCCTGCTCAGGCATAACACATCCCTCAGGCTACCCATTTGGAATATGAGTTTTCTCTCGTCGCCGCTCACTCAAAAACGTGCCATGGCAGCAGAAAGCTTATTTGTTTTCACGGATGCGGCTCCTTCCTTTTGATTCTGTCTCTTGGCTGCCCGTGTTGTTTTGTTTTGTTTTCTCCTCAGGGAGAATATTCTTGTGCTCGATATATTCTTTGAAGCCCTCAACTATGAGACCATTGAGCAGAAGAAAGCATATGAAGTGGCAGCTTTACTTGGTAAGTAAGAATCGTGTGTGTGTGTGTGTGTGTGTGTGTGTGTGAAATGAATGGAATTTGGGGGTTTCATCCCAACTCCATTCCAATGGTGGTGGGCAATTTGAGGCAGAGGGGAAATGAGTTTAACGGGGGCGGGGAGATCACCCAGCAACTAGTCACAATGGCTATATCCTACTTCCAGGGTCAAAGGCACTCTTCCTCTGAATACCAATTGCAGGCATGTCCACAGCATTCTTGGAACAATAAAGTTGCCAACCTCAGCAAGGAACAGCTGAGAGCATGGTTGCAAGGCCAATCAGTTTTGTGCAAATTGTTCCCTTTGTGTGCAAAGCGCTGTTTCCTCCCTGTTTCCCATCGGCAGATTCTCCCCCCCCCCCAAGAGCTTATTACACATGCAAGGCCCTTCAGCCAGAGAGATGCAGTCCTGTGCTGCTTTCCGTCACCACCTGGGTTATCGCCTCCCTGTGTGGCATCTATATTCTGCCACTGGTGGAGTGCTGTGTGATTTGGCATTGAGCCATCCTGTATGCTCTGCTGTGGTGGCCTTCGATGTGGAGGTTTCCATCTTTCCATCCTCTCGTCGAAATCAACAGGAGGGTAATGCTTTGTGCCATGTCCGTGGACTGGTGTAAAGTTGGGCTGTTGATGTGGCCTGCTCATGGATCAAAAGGGATATAGGGGCCAACATATATGGGCGTCTCCTTTTGGCGCACAAGGGCCCAAGTTCAATCGCCGGTCAGTGTGGACAAATGGTCTGATTCTGTATAAGACAGCTTCCTGTGTTGCACTGTGTCACCCAAGCCCTGTTTCAGTCACTCTGCTGGCATATCTTTGCCAGTAGAACAGCTCCAGCAATGTTGTTTACTGCCAGCCTACCTGGCATGTTCCATCAGAGGTGTAGCTGTCATGACAGTGGCTTAGCTGCTGTTTTTCCAGCATAGTGAGGCTTCTACCCAATCCTATGTGTCATTCTCCTCACACTCTGCCAACAAATCTTTAGTGTGTAGAATTACCGCCAGTAATTAGAAATATGAAAGTGGAGAGCGCAAAATATGGTCTGAAGCTCAACATTAAAAAAACGAAGATCATGGCCACTGGTCCCATCACCTCCTGGCACATAGAAGGGGAAAAAATGGAGGCAGTGAGAGATTTTACTTTCTTGGGCTCCATGATCACTGAAGATGGTGACAGCAGCCACAAAATTAAAAGACGCCTGCTTCTTGGAAGAAAAGCAATGACAAACCTAGACAGCATCTTAAAAGCAGAGACATCACCTTGCCAACAAAGGTCCATATAGTTAAAGCTATGGTTTTCCCAGTAGTGATGTACGGAAGTGAGAGCTGGACCATAAAGAAGGCTGATCGCTGAAGAATGGATGCTTTTGAATTCTGGTGCTGGAGGAGACTCTTGAGAGTCCCATGGACTGCAAGAAGATCAAACCTATCCAATCTTAAGGAAGGAGCCCTGCCTGAGTGCTCACTGGAAGGACAGATCCTGAAGCTGAGGTTCCAATACTTTGGCCACCTCATGAGAAGAGAAGACTCCCTGGAAAAGACTCTGATGTTGGGAAAGATGGAGGGCACAAGGAGACGGGGACGACAGAGGGCGAGATGGTTGAATAGTGTTCTCGAAGTTACCAGCATGAGTTTGACCAAACTACGGGAGGCAGTGGAAGACAGAAGTGCCTGGCGTGCTCTGGTCCATGGGGTCACAAAGAGTAGGACAAGACTAAACGACTAAACAACAACAACAACAATTAGAAATATTTAAAAAGGTGAAAGAATGTATATCTGAAAGCAGGTTAGGACAATTTAAATTACAGTTTATTTCCTACACGTATGCCTGGTTGTTAATTTTCATTCTGTTGTAGACCAGTGGCCTCAGTTTGTCTCCTGCTCCCACCCCTACCCTGTCGACAGGAGTTTGCCTTTCTATCCATCACAATGAAGAATTATTGGCTCGCCTGACTTGTCAAAGTCAGAATCCAGCCCGTCTGTTATTTAGATGAAAGAAAGGAGAGTTTAATGTCTGTCTGTTTGTCCCAAGGCCTTTGTAAGCAGCGTTTAAGCATATACCCTGTTGTCATGGAGATGTAAGCCTTTTCTTTCTTTCTGAACAATAAGCAGAGAGATTCTTACCAGTTTATATAGAGAACAACTATGATTTTTACTGGCAGGGAAAGGATAATCTGTTCAATAACATATTCATCCCTAGATGCTTCATGGACGTTGAACAAGAACCTAAATCAGAGTAGCAGAAGTAAGCAAATATAACAATTGCATTTTTAAAAAATGCCAATGGAGGAGAGATTCCAGATTTTCAAGAGCACAATAACTGCGAGGCAGGTAGAAATTCAAAAGGAATTTGATCCTTCATAGATGGCATATAACAGTACACAGCAGGGCCTTCTTGGTAATGGTACCAGATCTATGGCACTACCTTCCCAGTTCTGCTCCAATGGCCTCTCACCTTATATTCATTCAAGGATCAGCTGTCATATAGATTGTCATATTCTGTTGCTACTGTAAATTGTGGATTAAATTTTTATATGCTGTATTTTATAAACATTGTTTCCACCCTAGTATCTCTATGAAGAAGGATGGGATATAAGAAATATAATTATTGTAATCAGTGATCATTAATAACAATAGCAACAGCTGTGGGAGATTGCTAAAAGTTCCCAAGAACCAAGGAATCAGAGAGGATGGGCAGATAGCAGATAGCATCAGAATTAAAGCTATAAACCTGTACGTATATGATTTCCTGGAAATAAACTCTGTTGAATTCAGTAAGAGGTACTTATCAATCAGTAGTCTGGTGCTACAGCTGAAATGGCCAATGCCATTTTAAGTTGCATTTAAATTAGCATCAGAAAGCTGTGAGAGGAAGAAGGCCTCTCATGGATGCTTAACATGTTTACTGACAGTATGAAAGGAAACAACATGCTTCTCCAGGCAGAGGGTAGGTTTTAGGAGAAGTTGATAACTCTTCTCCAAGCAGCTCAGCCATCAGAACTGAGCTGACGGGTAGGGGTGCTTTAGCTTGCAGAAGGGACAGTCCGTATCACCCTTGCCAAATCTGTAATTTTATCCGAGAGGACAGGTACAGCCTGCTGGCTTAGGGTCAGTGGTGGACAGTGCAGTGGCAGTGCTGACCTGATTGCACCAGTGCACTTGCCCTTTGCCAACCTCCCCTCCAACTCTCAGTAGCAGCAGTGACTCATCTGCTGGGGGATCAGGTAAACGCCACCACCTCACTATGCTATCCACTACTATCAAAACTGAGCCCCTCAACCACAAACATAGCTTCTGCGCCCAGACTTCCCACCCACCCACCCACCACCAAACACACACACACACAGAGTGGACATTCTTTACTCACTCACTTTTCATGGAGGATACGGATGCCCCTGTCATTCTGCTGCATTCTGGTGTTTTCTGTGTGGTCCTCAGATTTTCCCCACCCCCAAGACCAGAGTTTTAGTCTGGTGGGATTTGGGGTGGGTGTGTTATAATAAAGCACAATTGTAGAATTTCCCCTTTTAGTGTGGACAGATGAAGTGCTACTGAGACTTTTTAAAGTGCTGCTGTGCTTTTAATTAGACACTTCCTGTGTGCAGGTGGAACCCATTTTATTACTTCCTGATGAATGTGAATGGAGCCATCAATGGCATACTAATTCCTCCTTGAATAACCTCTCCTAATTGTTCCATTATTAGTTTATGTTTCCACAGTACTGGCAATGGGGAGGATTTAATTGCCAGTTTTCTTGAAATAAGTTTAAAGGTAAAGGTAAAGGTACCCCTGCCCGTACGGGCCAGTCTTGCCAGACTCTGGGGTTGTGCGCCCATCTCACTTAAGAGGCCGGGGGCCAGCACTGTCCGGAGACACTTCCGGGTCACGTGGCCAGCGTGACATCGCTGCTCTGGCGAGCCAGAGCCGCACACGGAAACGCCGTTTACCTTCCCGCTAGAAAGCGGTCCCTATTTATCTACTTGCACCCAGGGGTGCTTTCGAACTGCTAGGTTGGCAGGCGCTGGGACCAAGCAGCGGGAGCGCACCCCGCCGCAGGGATTCGAACCGCCAACCTTTCGATCGGCAAGCCCTAGGCGCTGAGGCTTTTACCCACAGCGCCACCCGCGTCCCAAGAAAGGGAGAGAGTCTTTGAACTATAATAGGCAACTTATATTGTTCTGCTGATCACATACAGCCAGGAGCCCAAGATCTCAGGAATGATCCTAGTGTTGACCAATTCAGAGGCTACTGCTTGCCAGCCACAGGAGCTGATATTGCAAATGCCCTTCTGTTTGGTGCCTGAAGAGTACTCTGAGGCCCAAATGCACTCTGTTCCCAGTAGCTCACTGAGACAACACCACACAAGACCTTTAAAGCATTTTCAATGCACACATCTGCCTTCCTCCAAAAAGGAATTACATTAAATGCATTTTTTTTTAAAGGATGCTGGGAATCATAGCTCTGTGAGGGGGAAACTACAATTCCCAGGATTTTGTGGGGAACTGCCTTGAACATGCTTTGGTGCCTGAACAGCCTGGTTTTGTGATAGTGCAAAGTCCAGCCAATCTGCATTCTGCAAAGCTTTTGCTGGAAACCAAGGAAGCCAGTTGTTCCTGAACTGGACTGCTTGAAGGAGGGTAGCATGTTTTGCCCCAAAAGGTGGTGAGCACAGATCCACAAAAGGTCCAAACTGTGTTATTCTCTACACCCCCATAAATAGTGTGTGGATAAAACGTCTGCTTCGGTTTCCTTTCCCTTCTCCAGGTGATATTGGAGGTCAGATGGGCCTTTTTATTGGTGCTAGTATCCTCACCATTCTGGAAATATTTGACTACATCTATGAGGTAAGTTGTGGCCCTCTGTTGTGGTGACATATGTAATCCTGGCATCCAGGTACCATCCAGCCCCTCCTCTCTGACCCCATCAAGTGCCCAGATACTTAAGCTTCCTTTGGCTCCCTTGTATTTTCTTTTTCTTTTGAAGCTGCCTCGAGGTTTTTCTGGCTAAAAAGAGAGAGAACAGCATGTAAACGTAATAAATGACTGGGGCCTGCAACAAAATGTTGTGGTGTGAAGTGCCCCATTTCATTCTCTCTGCCTCTCCTGGCCTTCGGTTCCCACCCAGCTTTCTCTACAAAATCCATTCCCTGAATTCCCCAGCCTTCTCCTTCCAAGACAAAATACATTTGAAATTCTGCTATCTGCATTTCTTGGGATTTCCTGATTGCAATGAATTTTGAAAACTTGAAGCACAAAATCCAAACCCACATTTCAGGTTTCTGCTATAAACTCAGAAATGGTGAACCAAGTTACAGAAGTGTAAAGCCTGGGTCTTGTGTGCTATCAGGACCAAATTGGGTGCAACACAAACCCTCAGTAATAAATCTGGGCTGCAGAACAATAGCCCCCAAACTTAAATTAGGCTCCCTCAAATGTCAGATTTACAATTTTAAAGAATTGTATGACCCAAATAGATGTGCTGTTTAAATGCTTATTTGCATTATGCATATTTGCATGTTTTATTAAATGCAAATATGAGCCTCCGTGGGTGGGTGTGGATGTGTGATAATTATCAGGACTGCAGTAGGTGGTGGGGAGATTTAACCATTTCGTCCCCTACCACAGCCCTAATAGAAAATGCTTCTTCAAAGCTGCTATTTGCATTGGGAGGAACTCCCACCTCCACCCCTTGGTCCCAGTCTTATAGCAAAGATAAGAAGAAAGCACAGCTGCCACCAGTGGGGGGATTTTTGGGCAATGAAAATAGCAGCTTCAGTGAACAATTTTCCTTTGGATCACAACAGGAGAGAAGAGGGATATAGACTCCCATCCCACTTGCTGTAATCCCAGTAATTATTTGGCTAATAACCCAGCAATTTCTATTTGCATTTTTTTTAAAGAGAAAGCTGAATGTAAAGATGCATTTAAACATGATGTCTAGCATGGCCCTTAGAGAAACCAAGACACAAGAGAGATGTAAAGGGCAGGGGGAGGCAGTCCCTTAGGCCTGGCTCTGTCCCCCCCTTTTTAAGTGGCAGCAACAGGAGAGGCTCCCCATTATCCATTGTTCATTCCTGCTTGCACCTTCCTTGCTCCTTGTTCACTCGGCTTGGTGATCCGCAGGCCACCCTCCTGCACATTGCAGAGGTGGGCACTCAATTAATAGAGATAGAAAGTGGGCATAATACCTTTTTAGTTGTGGGCAATTGTCCAAGCAATAGAGGTTATTATGTATCATCTGGTGTTTGTTAAGACTGTGATGATTTTAGCATATACGCTTTGACAAAGCTCTGTGGACTGTTTGGAGATGATTCTCTGATTGTGTGTACAGTGGTACCTCGGAAGTTGAACAGAATCCATTCCAGAAGTCTGTTCGACTCCCAAAACATTCAAAAACCAAATCGTGGCTTCCGATTGGCTGCAGGAATCTCCTGCAGCCAATCGGAAGCCTCAGAAGCCCCATTGGATGTTTGGGTTCCAAAGAACGTTCACAAACCGGAACAATCACTTCCGGGTTTGCGGCGTTCGGGAACCAAACCATTCGACTTGCAAGGTGTTTGGGATCCAAGGTATGACTGTAGTTCTTTTATCTTTGTTTTAATATTTTTAAAAAAATTGGGGGGGGGGGGAGAAAGTGAGCATAATAAGAATACTTTTAATTTGTATACTGCTTTTCTATATTACTATACACAAGGCAGTACAAGCTGAAGAAACAGCAAAGAACACACACCTTATAACAATCTGATCCAATACAAAAAAAATGTCGTGATAAAAATATAACTTTAAAATAAACAACTTATATCAAATAAAGGGATATCCAACAACCTATTGGAATTTAATAGTACAAACTGAAATTAAATAAGGCCTACCCTGCTGTGCCGCAACTCCAAATACAGGGAGCTGCATGTGGATAAATTTGGGCATAGGATCACCTGTGAGGCCCCTGTCTTAAAATACGCTCTGCCCAGCTACCTTTGCTGTGTGCTAGTTCTGTCAGAGCCACTTAGCCAGGGGGCTCGTTCAGCTCAGCTGGATGCCAGCTCATGAGTTTGGCATGTGCGGCTAGGTGCTCTGGAACAAGCAGGCCTCTCCCTTAAAGCAGCTTTTTCCGAGGGGTGGACCGGGAACAGCGGCGGCTGGTGTTCACTGGGACTGGTAGGGTCAGCCAGCAGTAGGAGGAGCCAGGCAGGGCCAACAAATTCTAGTTTTGTCCCCATCACCCTCCCTGCCGAGTTTTACAAGGGCAACAGAGAGACTAAGGAGGAGGAGGACGATGCTGACAGCCAGGGCCAGCACCTGGACTGGGTGTAAATAAGTAGGCAGACAAGAGGGGTCTGCCTCTCCTTCATTGGAGGTTTTTTAATAGCATTTGGGTGGCCATCTGACAGGGATTCTTTAGCTGTCATTCCTCCCTTGCAGGAGGCTGGACTGGGTGGATCTTTGGGGTCCCTTCCAATTGCACAGTTCCATGATTTTTTTGGCAGACTGGGGCTGGTGGGGTAGTGCCCCAGTTTCCCTAATGGAGCAGCTTTCACAGATGCTGAAGGCAGAAGCAGGCATGCTTCATGGAATCTTCTCTCACACATGCAGACCACCAGCAGTCATCCTTTGCCTTCTCTTCCCCCAGGGACCCTCACAGACTTTGAAGGTTTTCCATCTATTTGTGTAAAACTGCGTAGTTACGTTTTGGGATTCCTTTCGGGTCGAGCGAGTGTCAAAACCTAAAGTAAAACAGGCCAAATATGAGCTCTGCAACCACCATGCACGCCACTTTCAGCTCCTGCAACACTTGCTTCCCAGTTCCCCAGGCAGTCAGGTCTGGGCAGCCATTGTCATGCCACAGAACGTGGATTATGGTCCTTCTGCACACAGCGTGGTGCCCACCACTTCTGTCATATAACCTGTCTTCTGTAAAAAAATGGGGCAAGTGTCTAGTCCTGATGTTGATGGGAAAATGAGAAAGGCATTTACTCAGAGCTTTTAGCAACTGAGGAAAGGGTTGCTTTCACAGTAGGGACCTTTCAGCTGGAAGCGTAATTGAAACAGTTAAAACAGCCCTGTATTCCTTATAAAAATCCTACAACAGTCTCTTTTGTTAATAGCTCCTTCCTTGCCCCTTTCTTTTAAAATGGCTTCATCCTCTCTGCTTCTGCCCCTTTAATTAAACTTCTCCTGTTCACTCATATGACTGAATTCCTGAATCAACTTTTGATTAGCTGGTTCCTGTCCCCTTTCAAGTGAGGGGATCTCCTTTCTGCTTATTTGCAGCTATTTATTATTATTATTATTATTATTATTATTATTATTATTATTATTATTATTAATTTTGGTGCAATTGCAATTATAAAACAAGGGGAGAAATAAAAGTGAAATTGCTCTGGCTGTTAAGAAGAAACCTGTCATTATTGCCCTTCTGCCCCTCTTCCCGCAAAAAAGGAACAAGAATTGGCTATTGAAGTGGTGAATGTCAACCATGTGAGTAAACAGAAAGCCGCTAATTAAAGGGGCAGAAGCAGCTTTAACATATAAAGGGGGGAATTAAAGGGACAGACACTCTGAGAAGCCTCAATGACATTTTGCCAGTCCCTCCTGAGAAGGCTGTCACTGCAATTGGTTTTTTTTTTAAACAAAAAAAATACAGTTCCCCAAATGAGGTCTAGAAACAGACACAAGGACAATATGGGAGATGCTGGAATGAAATGGGTCGGCAATCTGGATTCTACATAAAATTAAGCAAAAGGATGGCATCCACTTTTTAATTAAAAGGTCTGTGTGGCAACAAGGTTGGAAGGGAAAACCAACCTTCTCCTTACCGTGATGACCCTGCACCTTCTCATCTCTCTTCCTTCCTCTCCCGTGTCTACATTTTCTAAAGTGTAGATCAAATTCCTGTAGTTTCACTCCATGCCTCACTTTTGAAAATCGGCTTCTGGTGCCAGAGCTACTCCTCTCAGAGGTGCTGCAAGTTTTACAGTGCTGACAGCATTGAACAATGGGGTTAATGTGACCCACCGCTTGATTCAGCAAAAGTTATTCCATCTCCCATCCATAGTGGCCACTTGTAAAAATGTCGCCGGGCCTTTATCAGTGGTCCTCTTACCTGGCACACGTGCTCCTGAGAAGGCAAAGAAAAGGGGGAAAGCTTGCTCGTTCCAGCACATGTGCTGGAGTCTTGGAAGCCGTAGCAAATCAGCAAAATTTCATCACCAGGAGAAGGGGGTGGGGAGAAAGAGAACAATCTAAAAAAATAAAGTAAAAGGAGATATAGGCTGGAAGTCTATATGTAGCACAGGGGTGTTTTTGACAATTACCTCCTTGATAAGTTTATTGGGTAGCCATAGGTGAGCAACTATTTTTTCAGCCTCAGTTCCATAGCCGCAATATGGTATGAACTATCTGCGTGGACTAGCAGAAGCAGAATAAATCATTAGTCTCATATAAAGCAAACAGGACCAGTTTCCCTGCATCTGGGGATGGGTGGGCTGTGCCAAGGTTCTGTTAGGACTAAGAGCCTCCCCCTTTCTCCCATTTCTTTTAGCTGATCAAGGAGAAGTTGTTAGATCTTCTTGGCCAGGAAGAGGAGGAAGGAAGCCACGATGAGAATGTGGTAAGTAAACATGAGATTCCCTGGGCCTAAAGCAGGTGTAGGGCATACAAGAAGCCCTCGCAAACCAGACTGGTTCATTACCCTGCAATGCTCACTTTCTGTGGGTGGGTAAGAACTGAAGCTGTGAGGCATTTTAGGCTGGATTTTACCTGACATGGGCTCATTGGTCCTGATGGGGTTTTGAAAGTTTGTCGGCTTTCAAGAAAAGTAAAGAAGAGCAAAAACTTTGGGGTATTTCAGGTCCTTGTGAGCTTAAACTAAACAAGCAAAAGGACACATCCATCATGCTGTGTCAAGAGCAAAATAGTTGTTAGCCACAGAAATAAAAGATAGATTAGACCTTTTATGGAATACCCTGGAGGATGGGACTGTTTGCATCAGAGCCCTATGTGCATGATTTATTTAGATTGTTGTTATTTTAGCCCCTTCCCACAATTCAAAATAATCTTGGTTTGTTGACACTTTTTAAAACGCAGATGATAGCTAAATACATGTGTTTGTGTGTTTGTGTGTATGGATTTTATATCACCTTCTACCTCAAGGCAGGTCCCAATATGGTAAATCAATCAATCACAGACATGATCCAGCCAGAGTTAATCACATATTTCTATGGAGTGTGAACCATGTTCTTAAATCCATCCCACTGAAATCAATGGGTCTTTAAATTTGCAATCCTGTACATATTAGCTGACAATAAGACCCACTGAACAAAGTGGAACTTAACCCTGGAATAAACATTCTTTGGCTTGTATTGCACAACACTTAAACTTGGATGGATTGTGTTCGGTATTTTTACAGATTCTCTGCTCCCTCAGATTTAAAATTTTACCAATAATTCAGTTTGAGCTGTCAAGTTTAAAGCAGAATACTGAACATGTTTACCCAGTGTGAGATATTTCTGAGTTCAGTACGACTTACTTGCATATTTTCAGATTGCAGCTGTTTAAACCCCCAAAGACATTTGCTTTTCCAAATTTGACACCACACACACGCCCACACAAAATGCACATTTCAAAACCGATTGTTTCAGATTTCAAAGCGTGATGGTTTCAAGGTGCAAACGTCAATACTCACAAGCTGATTACTTTGAGGTTCTGTTTATTTCAATGGATAAATTGAAATAAGTGCTTAACTCACTTCTAGGGGAATGAACAGGCTTTAGGCATGTTTATGGCTCATGTCCAATATTAATGTACATTTTGACACTAATAGTACGATATTTGTTGCAGACGCAATCAAACACATATATACATATACAACACACACACACATGACACACATACATGGTTGCCATGACCATTTCCGCTAGATTTGTTTTTGCGGGTTTAGACTGCCTTGCTGAAAGTCACAGTGCTGCTTTGGAATCTCTGGATTCAGTGTTTGAAAATCACAAGTGCAGCTGTTTCATCAAATGTGGAAGCTAATCTTACATAAGCTCCCTCCACTCCATGTTTCTTTTCCTAATCTGTTTCAGTTCTAGGCGCCTTAATAGTATGAGGAATTGGATCCTCCCAGCCCCTAGGGCAGATATTAAAGTAAAACCTAGCATTTGTATATCACTTCTCAGTCGGGTCCAAGCACTCCCCACGCATTGTCTCAGCAGTCCTTACAATGTCCCTGGAAGGTAGGCCAATGTGTTATCCCCGTATTGCAGATGGAGAGCTGAGACTGAAGGAAGAATTGGTTGCCTAAGGCCACCTAGTGAGTTCATGACTGAGGTGAGATTTGAACAAGGCCCTTCTATGCTTACTATCTCTTTAGCCCCTGCACTGCACACCACGTTTCCTTTCTTTCTCTCTCTCTTTCTCTTTCTCTTTCTCTCCTTCCCCAGAGCACATGCGAGCCCTTGCCAAACCACTCCGATCCCATCAGCCACACTGTGACGGTCCCCCTGCAGACGACCCTGGGCACGCTGGACGAGATTGCGTGCTGACAGCAGCCCCTCGGCACCATGGATATCCAGATGGCAGAAACTCTTATCCCCCCCCTCTGCCCCCCACCCCCGGAAGCCAGGGAATCTTGCTCAGGTTCGCCGCACAGGGTGGGTTGGGGTGTGGACCACCACGGAGGAATTTGCTATGCATCCAACTCTTCTCTTTCTCTTCTTGCCAAAATCCAGCGAGAGGCGCTTTGGACTCAGTTGCGTCCCTCTGTCCACGTAGGGAGGGGAGGAGGAGGAGGAGGGTGTGTGAAGGGGCAGGGCAGGGTTGTCTTCGCCAGCGGACGCCGCGCCTCGGTTTTTTGTGGTTTTATTTTTTGAACTGTACAAATCCGACAACCAAGGAACCGTCATTTCATAAACTGCCAATGACTGTACAAAAGAAGCCTGCATGCCAGTCTTTTTGATGGCAATATCTCCCCCACTTTCTTCTTTCTTTACAAGCCGTGTCTTAACAGCTGTTACTTTTTTTTCCACGACAAAAGAGGAGGCCACGGCACAGACGTCCCGTCCCCCTCCCCGTCTGTCCCGTCCCGTCCTGTCCCCCCGCCCAAGAGTTCACAATTACATGACACCACAAGCTGAGTTAGGAACAAGCAAAGGCCTGACCGACCTTCAAAAAGCCACTGTTCCTTTTGTCTTCGTCTCAATCTGTGAAAGGGTCTCGGAGCCCTGCTTGAGATCCTTTATTTGGACCCGGTCACTGGCCACCAAGGTGAGCAGGCTCAGCTACAAAATGGCTCCCCTCATCTTACCGCTGCAGACCGCCCCCCCCCTACACACAGGCACCCACAAACACACCAGCCCCGTTGGCACTCGTAAGCCACAGCTTCTGTCTTGTTCAGATTGGTGTGTAATAATACAACATGTGTGTCTCAGGGCTGAGGGTGGGCATGGGGGAGGCTGTGTTCAATCGACATTCTGACCTACCCTGCTTCCTCATTCTATTAAAGGTGGTCTTGTGGAAGGGGCCCGTTTGTGCTGCATCTGTTTATTTGCACCGTCGCGGATGCTTGACCAGAGCTGGGAACCTGCAGAAAGGGGGAGGGGTCTCTTTGCAGACATTCTTTGTTTTTCTTAACACCGAAAAGAGAAGTTCGGACTATTAGTCAACATGCTCTTAACATTTTAATTGGGTTTAATCCATTGCTGACCAAGTGAGCAGCCCTACACTCGGACACAGTGGCCTGCTTTGTTCCTGTTTCATAGAACTGTAGAGTTGGAAGGGACCACAAGCGTCATCTAGTCATTCCTGCAATTACAGGAATCTTTTGCCCAACGTTGGGCATAAACCTGAGATTAAGTGTCTCGTGCTCTACCTGCCAACTGAGCTATCTCAGGTCGTAGCTACGTTGCTTAGTTTCGTTTAGCTATGTTGTGGTTTGTTGGAATGTCCAGACCCAGTCCAGCAAACTCACCATGGTTTGTTTTCTGGCAACAAATTGCCATGGTTTGTTGTTAGCTTGCAAACCATGGCTTGTTTCAACAGTAGCTTGACTTTTTGTCCTGACCCATTAACTCTGCGTAACCGTGGTTTGTGCCACTGCATTGCAGATACTTGCCAAAATACAGGGGCACTAGGCAATATCATCTGGAAAATAAACCACAGTTCATAGCAACAAGCTGTGGCTTGTTTGCTTGTCTGTGACATCAGGTGGTTTCTTGAAATCACGTGATTTCTTCCATGGCTGAGACAAACCATGGCTTAATGTTATGTGCAAATGCAACCAGTGAAACCACACAGCAACCATTGTTTAGGAATGGCATCATGTTGGCTCTGTGATTTCTTAGTGTGTTGATCAGTGTCATTTTCCTTACTGAAGTTTGATGGCATCCAGTGTCACAACATCCCTTCTCATGTGTGATACTTTGATTAACTCTGTGGTCCCATGAGCTCTTGCTTCTGAAGTATTTGGTGAGCATTCCAATCTGATTTCTTTGAACAAAAAACAGAACATGATAGGATTTGCTATGGAAAGACAGCACCCAATTTCAACCCAAACAATAGTTCAACACACACACACACACACACACACACACACACACACACACGGTCCTTTTCTGGCTTCCATTAGAAGTTTGAATTTCAGTAAGAAAGCAACACAATAATGCAGGAAACCCCTTTTTTCCCTTTTCCTTTTAGGTCAGTTGTTTAGAAGGGAATGTCTGGACAAAATGAAAACTGCTTGCCTCTCATGTTGCTTAAGCTAGAAAGTCTACAGATAATGTGCCATTGTGGGACAAGGTGTGCTGGCACATCATAAATACTCATTGGAAGATGCACAATGTATCAGGGAGCAGTTCCAGGAATAAAAGGCTATTTGATCTATTTCCAAAGAGACCTCTGGCCTGAACAGCTTTTAAGGGTTGTGGGGGAAGGATTGCAGCAGGAAGCAGCTAAGGTGGGTAGATTGTCTACAGTTAATTTCCTAGTAAAGATGACACATATTCCTCATAGAATGCCCAGAAGAATAGAGGAAAAGTGGAAGAGAAGGGGCTTGTGAAATAGGTATATATGAATTTGGTTTGTGCATTGTGTCTAACCAGCTGTGGAAAGAGCAAGCTTCTCTAATGCAGGTAATTTAACAATTGCAAAAGAGCTAGTAGGAAAATGAACAGTGCAATTCCATCCCTGTCTACTCAAAAGCCCCACTGAGTTCAATGAGGCTTTCTCCCCTATGCAAGGGAATAGGATGTGCAGCCTAAGTGCATAGCATTTCTGTATCTAGTAGGTCTTTTTTCAAGCTACAATTAGCTTCCAGGTCTTAAGCCCTAAACCTCAGCAAAACATGCCCAAGAACTACACACAACATGCCTTAAAGAGTTTCCTGCAGCTTCAGCAAAGCTGAAACACCCTTTCACCAAGAATGCCTCCCGCCACCTCCATTTATTTATTTGAAAACTATGTAAATACTACCTAATGTTTTGAAGCTGTGTGTGACACAAAACTAGGAAGCACAATCAAAACAATAGATCTGTATAAAGACACAAAGCAAAATAGGAATACGTATGCAATCCCAGCTGATGGGCTGTGTTGTGTGCAAGTAAGGTCTGTGGTCAGCACATTGCCTTTATGAACAAAACATGTTTCCAGCACGTGGCGAAAAGGTAGTACGTTTTTTATATGGGGGAGGCTGTTCCAAAGGGTAGGTGTGTCATTTCTGTAAAAGGCCTCTTACAAGTGAATTCAAAGTGGAACATTGACACTGTGGTGCCACCAAGAGGATTTCAACTGCTTATCTCTGTTGAAGGTATGTAGGATTTTGCCAAAGAGTGTTTGATGAATTGCCGTTTCTTGCTCCTTTTAAAAAACGAACCCAGATGCAACATAGCAATATATAATAAAGAACCTCTGCACATATAAGTGCTTTCCCCTCGTGGCTATGCAACTGCACTTGGAATTATTATTATTATTATTATTATTATTATTATTATTATTATTACTACTACTACTACTACTACTACTACTACTACTACTACTAAATTTATATACTGACCTATACCCGCAGGTCTCGAGGCAGTTCACAGAATAAAAGCATCAGGACTTACTTCCTTTGGCAGATGTGTTCCCCATATACCTGTGTCCTGGAACCTGCCTTAGTTTTTATTGCATTTATCATGCTCTGCCTTTACTGTTGACATTCATATTTATACGTCCATTTTTTTATTATTATCATTATTATTATTATCATTTCACCCTGTCTAAAACAATGAATATATAACAAAAAGAAACCCTAAAATTATTTAATTGCACCTAACATGCATATGATCTTGTACATTAGGGTTCCAATATGTAAGAAAAGTGCTCCTTTCATCAACCTTCCCTCCCTGACCTAGACAAAACGAGTTAAATTGATCATACACGCTATATCCCAGATACTCATTAGCCACTGTATCTCCCTCCCCCCCCCCATTTATAACTAACAGGCATTCTATCAGCATTCACCTTTAATCCTATTCCAAAACTGCATGGGAGCTGCTGATTTCACTTGATAAAAAAGTACAACTCGAGGGCCTAAGGAAAGGGTGCCTCCCCAAACCGTACCCACCTGACATGTGGCATCAGGTGGGTGGATCAGCTACAAGACCAAGTTCCTCATGGGGAGCTTTCTCTCATAGCCATCCATTCCAAAAGCAAGACTGAAATCCTCACCCATCGGTTGATACCCAACCAAGTTCCCCTGGAGAAGTCAGTTGTGCAGCTGATCCCCACAGAAAGCATCTTCGCCAGTTCTATGCTCAGTGTTCTACTGCTTTACAGAGCCTCTTGGACTGCAGTTCCCATGTGCCCGACAATCCACTGGCGGTTGGTGCTGTATAAAGGGCTTTTGACGGGTGGGTTACCCAGCTCACTTGTCAAAAGTGGGGGCAGATCTGCCTGGCCAGAAAGGTTCCTCACCCCTGGTCAAAGGGAAGATTATAATTAAGTCATTTTCTCTATATTAGGAATTAATTAGGGATTTATTAGATGCAGAACTTTTGGAGATTAATTACTTTATCTTTTGGCACGCCCAATAAATTTAGTTTGCATCTGCTCTAATTGCATTGCAGTGCCGAATATGTGTCATAGATTTTGAGATAGGTTCAACTTAGTCTTCATGGGGTGATGCGCCATCTAAATCAGGGGTGGCTAACTTGTTACTGCACTCCAGCTCCCATCATCCCTGATTATTGGCCATGCCAGCTAGAGCCTATGAGACTTGGATCCCTCACCCCTGTTACAGCTACTTGTGATAGTGAATTACAAGAAGTTTATGGAGGCCCTCCCAAACCATGGCTGAGCCTTATGCAAGGACAATACTGTATACTTGGCCAAGACCATGTACTTTCCTCACTGGTATTCAATTCCTAATTAACAGATTTGCAACCATCAGATTTCATGCACTTCCAGAGCAAACTGCAAACACTTCCAGTTTACTGAGCATTCAGCCTGATTTGCCTGCAGAGAGATTAGACAATGTGGGCTATTTAATGAGCATTCATTTGGATTTGTGTGTGGGGAGGTTAGAAGACATTGTGTTAAAGCAAGTGCTATTCCCCACACTCCCAGAGTGTTTTGCAATCACTTTGTTTGTGATTTTTGTGCTTTTATATTGTAAACTGCCCCGCAATCCCTGGATGAAGGGCAGCCTAGAAATTTAATGAATAATAATAGTAATAATTTGCACATTCCAAAACAATATGTGAACCGAAACACAGCCAACCTTTGAAATCCTTGCTTCACCCGCAATTTGCAATGTGCTTCTCCTGCTGGACAATGTGTGCGAATTTGCATATGCTTGGATAAGGTGTGTGTAAAAAACGTATACATTTGCGAAATAACGTACAAAAATGCATTGCATTAGGGCAAATTGGTTTTGCAAAAATGTGTGGAACTCAGAAGAATTGCATGTAAACATATGCAACCTTAGGAGAAATTCACGCTGATGCGCTGATGAATTTTCATGAGGGTTTTAACAACAAATAATTTGCAAACTGGTGTGGAACTGCGAAGAGCTGAACTTCAGAATGGAGATGGTCACCCTCCTCTGCACATGTTTCAGCTTGTCAGTATCTTTCTGAGGGAGTCTACCAGGGAAGAAGGGCTGGGAGAGAAGACGAGAAGTTCAGTCATGGATCTATTGATGAGTTAGTGCACAGCAAGCCATTATTTCAAATCTCCTTGTCTCCTGGCATCAGCAACTTTTCATGGGATACAGCTTGCCCTGTCTTATTTTCTAGTCCAAAACGTTTTGGTACCTGAGACCAAAGCAACAAGCACCACCACCCAATGATAGGACTGGCCCTGCCCTCTCCCTGCTGATGGACTTGTGGTACAATCTAGAGATTTGTGCACTGCCTCCCTAGGTTCATGTCAATCTGTCTGCAGCCCAGCTCACCCAAATTATGCTGCCTGAGGCAGTCAGTCACCCTCACTTTCTTGGGCAGAGCCGCACCACACATTTAAAGCACCCCCCCCCAAAAAAATCCTGGGTATTGTACTTTTCCCTTCATAGAGCTACAGCTCTCAACAATTATCAAACTAGAGTTCCCCTGATTCTTTGGTGGAAGTCACGTGCTTTAAATGTGCATGGGGTGTGCTTTGGATGTATGGTGTGAATCTGCCTATTTCGTGGTGTTTCTGTGCCCAACGTATTTCTGTATTTCTGGCTCTCTGTTTCTGTGCCCGCTGTATTTCTAATGGCCATGCATGATCTAAGGCTCCCACTTGCCTCCCCGCTCCCTCCATCCTCTTGCTGCGTCTTTCAAGAGGCTTTAGGCTTCAAGAAAGCTGTGAGGTCCAGCTAATCTGCTCGCTCCTTTGTGACACTGATGTATGGGACATCATAAAGCAAACGAAGTACCCATCGGGGCTGGATTAATCTCCTGCCCCTTTTCAACAACAGGGCCCATCTCTGTGCCAAATCATTCGACGTTACAAGGACATTTTTCTCTGTCTCAGGGAGACATTTCATTTTCAGAGAAGACAAAGTAACTCTCTAGGTAAGTTACAAGCCAGCCGTAGGGGTTGCGAGGTTTCTTGGTCTGGTTCCAGAGCCTAGGGTGAGTGGGTGGATTAATTAACTCTTTGTAAAGCTTTCCTGTTGAGACAAGCCTTTCGGGAAGTGGTGGCCAGAACAGGTGACTCCGTTCACCTCTCCTTGGCAGCAAAGAAATTAATGCCCTAATGCCTAATAGCCTGTGGCCATCCCGATGGTGAGGGACTCCAGCTCCCATCATCCCTGACCATTGAGCCACACTGCCTGAGACTGAGAGAAGTTGGAGTCCAGCTACATCTGGTGCACCACAAGTTCCTCACTTCTGCCCTAGGTTTGTGTCTCTCAAGCCTCCTTTCTCCCTAATACTTACCATATTTTTCGCTCTATAAGACGCACCAGACCATAAGATGCACCTAGTTTTTGGAGGAGGAAAACAAGAAAAAAAACTGTTCTGAATCCCAGAAGCCAGAACAGCGAGAGGGAGATGTTCTGGCTTTTGGGATAGCTGCGCAGCCTGCAAATGCTCCATAAAACGCACACACATTTCCCCTTACTTTTTAGGAGTGAAAAAGTGTGTCTTATAGAGCGAAAAATAGGTATTTATTCTTATTTATTTGTTCCATTTATATCCCACCTTTTCTCCAGCGAGCTCAAAGTGAGGTACGTGGTTCTCCCCTCGTCATTTACTCCTCGCGACAACCCTGTGAGGCAGCTTAGGCTGAGAGGCTGTGACTGGGCCAAAGTCACCCAGTGAGCTTCATGGGCATGTCAAGATTTGAACCCTGGCCTCCCCTCCCCTTTGTCTGACCCCTATAACCACCACACTAGCTCTCGGATGCTGGGAGCTGGCAGGCAGACTCTTGAGGCGGAGAGGCTCGATTCCTGTCCTTTAGATCAGAATGGAGAGCCATGGTGGGGCACTTTTTTCAACCTGAGGGCCACATTCCCTTTGGGGAGGCAGGCACAAGCTAGCAGCATGTTGGGGTCAGAGGCTAAAATGGGCAGGTTCCTTTTGTACCTTGGGCTTCTCCAGGTAGGGCCCAGAAAGACCTCGGAGAGCTGCTGCTAGCCTATGTATGTAGACCCCTGGTCATCAACTGATGGCCTAATCGAAGTGCAAGTATATGGTGAAAGATGAAGAAATGGGTCCCCATATGCTGTTTGGGTTAAAAGTGAGCCCTGGATGTGAAACGGCCGAATATACATGTAGACAATAATGAGCTAGGTAGGCCAATGGTCTGACTTGGTACGAGGCAACTTCCTGTGTTCCTATGATGCTCTTGGTATGTTTGAAAGGCCAAACAATCCCAACCTGGAATTTAAAAAGAAAGAAAATGACTTAGGCCTACAAATCTAAAGCTTACAGCTCCCCCTGGTGGTCCAGAACCATTTGTACAGGCAGCTTTAGCTTTTTCATAGAATTACAGAGTTGGTAGGTACCCTGAGGGTCATCTAATCCAACCCCCTGCAATGTAGGAATATCTTGCCCAGCGTGGGGCTCAAACCCACAACCCTTGAGATTAAGAGTAACGTGCTCTACCGATTGAGCTATCCACAGTTTTGGATTGTGATGATTTGCTTCTTCTCCCATATTATTTTTTATACTTGTCAGCAGCTATCACAATGCTTTTGCCTGGGTTCTCATTGTGGGGTGAGCCTCTTAGGTTGGAAAGGTGGGATCACTATGTGACCTGGAAGTGAGCAGAGTGAGATGGATGGTGGTGATGTGTGGGCTCCTTGCTCATACTGGGAACTCTGGAAGCAGAAGGAAGAGCTTCTTAGTCCATCTCCTTCAAAACAAAGGCTTAGAGAGCATCTAGGTAGGTCACTTCACCAGGTAAGCAGATGGCGCAACAGGGGAAGAAGCAGGTATAACCACAATAACACCCTTTAGACTGTGATTCCTATCTGTGACCATTGAGGTTGGTGGAAGGTGGAGTAGAGCAATATCTGGAGGGCACCATTTTAGCCCCTTTTTGCCGTAGGTTGTAGTAAACGGAGCCTCCAGCTCATGGTCCAGATTTGGCCCCGCACAAGTCCCAGCTGGGCCTGCAAGACTCTTTTCCCCCAGACCATGCCCACCTGCCCCAGCCCTGACATGTGGCGTCAGGTGTGGGGCAGGTAGAGATCAGGCTCAATGAACTCTATCGCAGAACCAGTTCCTGCAGAAAGCAGCTTTCGTGGGCCTCTAATGTAGATTAGTGCCTAAAGGTAAGAGTCACACCCATTGCTTAATTGTTTGTTAAGGGTGCCAAGAGTCATTAGGAGCAGTGGCGGAGCAAACCTGGGGTGGCGTGCGGGGCCTCCGAGGAGGCTGCCTGCCTCCTCCCACTCAGCCGCCCTACAGCTGAGGGGGGGTGACGGGCAGACTATTTGGGGCAGTGTGGAGCCTGCGGGCGTGCTGCAGGACCCACAGTGAGTGCCGTCCAGCATTTTGTCACCCCCCTCAGTGGTGACACCTGGGGCAGACCGCCCACAGTTCCCAGAATTCTTTGGGGGAAGCCGTGGTCTAGAGGTGCTTTAACTGTATGAGGGGGCTGTGCCTCTAGGTTCACATGGGAGAAGGCACCTGAAGTGTGCAGGGTGATTGTCTTTGTGGGTTCTGTGTTGGAGCCAGATGGGGATGGCCCTAGGTTGCGAGTTTCACCTATGCCTAGTCTGCTCCATGCTGCAACGCTCAGCAGCCTTATCTCCTTCCCTATCTCATCTCCTTGCTCTCTTGTTTTGCTGTCTGGCTAAGCTGATTTGTTTTCAGTTGCTTGGCAATCCTGTTATGAAATACCCAAGGCTGCCTGACACTGCAGATTCCTCTCCCAAACCCCCTTCGTTGTTCCTATGAAAACCACAGATAATCAGAGGAAAGCCTTGCGTGATGTGAGGTTGAGAAAAGAGGACAACATCGTGTTCCGGGTTGACCTCATCATGGCCTAAATGTCGCATTCCCATCGTTCTTGACTGCAGCAGCCCCTGACATACAAAGCATCAATTTTCTTAGTATGTGAGGCTTGTTCCACCCTCCTTCCATTCAGTCTTCTAAAGAGAATGACAGGAGCCTCATTTGATGAGGTTGTTGGCATTGGACATAACAATGATTTGTATCCCGTGGAAGTTTGTGATAACGAGGGAGATGAATATTCATGGAAATGAGAGGTCACACATATCCCACAACTGTCCCAATTTAAGCGGGACATCCTGGAATCACAGAAGCCAATTCCAGCTTCTGTTTGCATCCCAGAAGGTCCCATTTTTTGGTCTGGTGCAAGTCAGCAGGGTCACACCAGAGAGCCAGACCGGAAGGTGCTCTGGCATGACCCCAAGTTTGGGGACAAAAATGTAGTTCCATGCTTGCTTTCCTTCCCAATACAGGGCTACAAGAGACAGAGAGAGAAAGGTGTAGTGGTTAGAGTGTCAGACTAGAACCAGACCACGAAGCTCACAGGGCTACAAATCTCACTGTTCTTTTCAGCACATTTCTCCATCACTTTCCTAACTGCAAAAGTCCTCTTTTTTAAAAGAAAGAAAGATTTGTTGCAGTAGAGTGACGGAATCCTTTAACCCACTTTAAACACACAAGCCAAAATTTCTGGTATGTGCTTGAATCTTTCACACAAAACAGCAACAGTCTGGAGACACCCAGAGTATTTACTGCATGGGGAAGGCGATAATTTAAAATCAAAATAGAAGAAAGTGATCACTCAAGCTGGTACTGTTGCTGAGGCACCAAAAGTATGTGCCTCAGAGAGGTGTTAGAATCTTTATGTGTGTGGTAACACTGTGGGGTTATTACTACATTATTTTTGTTGTTGGGCAACCCCTGCCCGCCCCCAGCCCTGTGGTGCTTATGTTGACAAGGCACCTTTTGAACAACTAAAAGCCACCTGTCAGGCAGGCAGGGCCAGTGTGTTTGAGCACAGCTCCCTTAGCAACCAGCCTGCTTTGTTTCCTTGCTTGTTTTGGCTGCCACCAAGCAGTCGGGGCCTTGCAATGGATCGTAGGGGCCAAGGGACCGCCTCACCACCAGTGCACCTCATTCAGCAACCAGTAAGTCATCATTGCAGGCTGGGGGAGTCGAGAGGGAGCCAGAGTTGCGCCCCTGAATGAGCAGCAGAGAGGAGAATCCCTTGGGACTCCGAAAGATCTGATTTATCCTCCCCACATCCCACAAAATAATCCCTAGGTTGCAGTAGGATGCTGGCTGCAGGGGCGGGGTGCAAAATTTAAAAATTCTGGAACAGACTATTTTATGCTGTGTCATCACTAAATCTGCAATAATCCCCACAGCTACAAATTGAGGTTGGAAGAATAACCAGAGAGGGTTGGGGAGCTGGTGCTGCTGGGGCATTGAAACATTTGGGTCAGTTGCCCTGTGCTAAGGAAATTAATGAAGCTTTTTTAAAAATAAAAAAAGTTAATTACCTTTGGAGGGGATTCTGCAGGATCATCTAGCAGTTAAACCCTTCTTCTGTCTCAGTGATAAACCCCATGACCCAATTGGGAGGCAGTCCGCAAACTGCCTCATTGGATCCTGTCAATGAATTTCCCTCCTTCTGCCCTGGACTTCACATGTGGGAACTGACCCCACACAGCAATTAGGGGTTGGGGGAAACAGTTCCACCACCACCACCACCCTTGCCTTGAAAATCCCCCAAGGAATAGGATTACACAGCCTCTTTAGGCAAAGGGGGAGAGCCACACAGTACATTTTAAAGCTCATTCAACACACATTTAAAGCACATGACTTTGTCCAAAGAACCCTAGGAAGTGCAGTTTCACTCTAACAGAGCTGCAGTTCTTGACAAACTACAGTTCCTGGGATTTTTGGGGGGGTGATACATAAAAGTATGGCTTGGAGCCGCCCCAAATGTTGCAGAGCAGAGCCTATGCTTCATTCCATACGCTCTTCTGTATGGATGGATGAGGAATCCAAGGGCAAACCAAGGCCAGAATCTTTGTAAGAGGTGTTCTTGCACAGAGTACAACTCTTGGAGTCACAACCTCCTATAAAGGTAAAGGTAAAGGTACCCCTGCCCATACGGGCCAGTCTTGACAGACTCTAGGGTTGTGCGCCCATCTCTATAGGCCGGGGGCCAGCGCTGTCCGGAGACACTTCCGGGTCACATGGCCAGCGTGACAAGCTGCATCTGGCAAGCCAGCGCAGCACACGGAACGCCGTTTACCTTCCCGCCAGTAAGCGGTCCCTATTTATCTACTTGCACCCGAGGGTGCTTTCGAACTGCTAGGTTGGCAGGCGCTGGGACCGAGCAGCGGGAGCACACCCCGCCACGGGGATTCGAACCGCCGACCTTTCGATCGGCAAGCCCTAGGCGCTGAGGCTTTTACCCACAGCGCCACCCGCGTCCCCACAACCTCCTATACTTAGTGCCAATAGATATATTGCCTCCCTAGACAACTGCTTGGGTTGCTTGCACAGTCAGACCAGTATTTGGCAAAAGGGAGGCCTTCTCACACGCGAAGATAAGGGGGGCAGGTGGTGTAGGGGACACATGAAGTGTCTCCTGGTGTGTGTGTGTGTGTGTGTGCGTGCGTGCGCGTGCGCACTTTTATAAATGTTGCTGCCATCACCAAATGTTCCAAAAGGAATTCAGTTGGAAACAGGGCATGCTAATCTACTCCCAAGGCTGATTTTCTAATCAAAAACCCACCTTCTTGTGCTTCCCCACCCAGAGGGTTTTCCCACCCCATGTTAGGAGAAAATCAGCAGGAGGGGTGGATTATTAGGAAAGAAAAATAGGAAGCTTCCTTATATTGAGTCAAACGACTGGCCCATCAAACTCACTATTGTCTACACAGACTAGCAGCAACACCCCAGGATTTCAGGGTCTCTCCCAGACCTACCCGGAGATGTCAGGGATTGAACTTGGGACCTATAGCATGCAAATCATGTGCTCTGCCATTGAGTGAGCAGACAGTCCATGGGGAAAGGTTTAAGCACCCCATCGGCCCACTGCTGCCCTCATCAGATTTGGAGATCATCCTCCATTTGGTTGCAGGAAAATGTCTGTCTTGCTATCATACCCAGTTTGGCTCTTGCATCAGACTTCTCATTAAATAAATGTGTAACTTGACGGTAGAAAAGAAAAGAAAAGAGGAAAACCTGGCCCAAGAGGGAGCGGGGGAATGACCTCCTAAGAAGAGACAGGATTTATTTGTGCAGACTGATTCTTTTCTCTGACATTAATTCTCAGATTCCGCAGCAGCCGGAGGTGACAATTCTCCAGCAATTGCCCTGGGCTACATCTGTTCCTCCGACATCCAGCAAGGCAGGGCACATCAGGGAAGGTAGGAAACCCAGCACAAGAAAGCCATGCCTGCCATTAGCAGGAGTGTTTAAAATTCTGCGCCGAAACCCACCCACCCACCTCAAGGATCCGGAAAGGCAGGGCTGAATGTAAATCATCTGCATCCCAAGACAGGATTTATAGCAGATTGGAAGGCAACAAATAAATGCACCAACCTCTCCACCTACCCACTCTTTCTAAAAACTCAGACCCTTAAATGGGCAATATAAATGTTGGCTGAATTTTCGTTCTGTGGGCAAAGATCTACAACTAAATTTGCAGTGAAGGTGGTGAGTAGAGTTGCTGCTACCACCAGCGTAATAGCAGGAGCAGAAGAAGAAATACTATGTGGACACATCATGGGGGGGGGGAGCAGCCAGAGTGTTTTCAGGGCCGCAGCATTGGTGGCCTGTGCTGAGGGAAGCCTGTTGCTGGTCCTGTAGCCCAGAAAGGAAACAAGTTTTACAAATCCACCAACCAAAAGGAGCACACTATCAAGATGAAATATCACCCCACAGACTGCACCCACCTGCCTCAACTGGGTTTTCAAGGCCTTCTGAAAACCTGAAGTTTGCTTATGACTTTACAGGGGTCAGTTGTGAGTCCCAGAGTTGTGGCTTAGACTGCCATGTGCAAAGATATCTGTCATTGTGATATACCCAATCCTTGTTTGAGAAACTTAAAAAGGAGTGATGCCAACTTCCCTTATTCTTTCAACTGCAGGGAAATTGTATTCCCATACAGTGCTACCTCAGGTTAAGTACTTAATTCATTCCGGAGGTCCGTTCTTAACCTGAAACTGTTCTTAACCTGAAGCACCACTTTAGCCAATGGGGCTTCCCGCTGCTGCCACGCCGCCAGAGCATGATTTCTGATCTCATCCTGAAGCAAAGTTCTTAACCCAAGGTACTATTTCTGGGTTAGCGCAGTCTGTAACCTATTGTAACCTGTATGTAACCCGAGGTACTACTGTATATTAGCTCCTAACTTAGTTCACATAATCTAAGCATTGGCATCTTCTTAACTAAGCTACTTCTCTTGTTTGTAGAATTTCACTTGATTAGCTCGCTGTCCAACACTTCACTGTATTGAAAGTGGAGAGATTGTTTCACTTCCCAGCTAATTTACAAGGCTTATATCTGCCATTTGTCTTTGCAAAGTGCCATCTATGGCCCAGAACATTCATTGCACCCTTTCTTTCTGGCAGATTTAATGGATCTCATGATGATACAGAATGCCCAGATGCACCAAGTCATAATGAACAACTTGGCCATGTCAGCAGTGGCGCACTTTGAAAACAGCCCGACCCAGTCTCTGGCACAGGTAGGTAACTGGAAGGGAAATGCTCTGTTCCACAAATGGAAGAAGAGAATTTTGGTTGGTCCACATTTTTAAGCAAAGGAACCTAATTTGCACCCCACCTAATTTGCACCAAACTAATCTGTAGGTTGGAATGTAATTTGGAATTTGCACTTCTCTGAATTTTGCAATTCAGCTCATAACGAACCAAAATGTGTTTAACCTGTTTGTTTTAGGGTAAAATAAGTTTAGAATTGCATGCAACGAGCTAAAATATGCATTTAAGTACATATTTAAATATGAATTTTCATTTGGACTTTAAAAAATGCAGGATAATGTGGAAATTATGAACAAACATGTGAGACACAGGGCAGAAATAGGCTGATCTGTTCATATCTTAAGTGGGAAAAGAGGTTGACAGTTTCTCCTTTCCTAAATAATCCTTCTGCCTTGCACCCCGGACACAGCCCTATCACAATCTAGCATGGGGTTGGAGGACTTGAGATCAAAGCTGGGATTGGGAGCAGAGGCCTAGCAGAGTGGAGGGTTAGCTTAACTTTTCTTTTTTCTGCTTCAACTCTGCCCCAAAGACTCTTCTCCATAAGAGATAAAATATACCCGGTCTCCCTGGAGGAGGAAAGTGGGGTCGATGTATTCCAGTGGACATTTCTCAAGCCTTTCACCCTCTCTTTCCTGCAGGTGTCCCACGTCCCTTGGCAGATAGAAGACGAGGAAGAGGATGACCCAGCCCCCCTTGTGTTCCACCATCATTATGCCCCCTACCCAAGCATTCTTCCATTCATGGGATGGCAGTCTCCATCTCGGGTTCAGCAACAGCCTGCCATTCGCCATGTAGGCCCAGACCTTCAGCTGATGGGGAGGCAAGACAGGTCAGTGTAGCTGGAGATGGGTTTATGAGGAAAGGATAGCACAGTCAAATGTGGAGGGGCACAGATCTTCACTGAGATGTTCATATCTGCAACTCAACACTCCAAACGTTGCATTCAAAAATATAACATTAGCACAAGTAGTGAGATAATAATAGACACTCGCCACAAGACTTCCGGGACAATGATGAACCTCACAGAGCTGTAATTCCCAGCACCAAACTACAGTTCCCAGGATTCTTTTTGTTGTTGGGGGAGTCGTGTTTGTAGCCAATATCTCCCAACTTCTCACCAGGCAGGGCAGAGCCAGCCCAAGGGATTTTGCAGCAAATAGTGCTTTGCCCCTGACCCATCAAAGTCAAGGTGAGCATAGTACCAAAGCCAGCCAGGTTATTCTGGCACGTCAGGCAGAAAATCCCACTAGGAACTTCTCTCCCTACCTAGCAGTAAAATCACACAGACAATCAATTTAATAACTAACCATTTGCTGCCTTAAAACCAGCTGCCTGCGGTGGCCACCTAATGGTACGGCCAGGACCCTGCCCATCCAAGTTCTACTGCCTGAATAAATAGCATAGATATGGATATGGGGCCTTTTGTTCATGATCTAGCCCCCTTCTTTCAGTCCCAGAGAAGGACAAGGAGGTCTGTAGAGCCCTGAAACCCCTGCACTGTGCAGGCCTTCTTCCTTCGGCCTCCAGCATTTTCACCAGACAACTAGTAAGCATGTCCAAACTTAATTTTTGCTGCCATCATAATAAGGCCTAGAAAAGTGACTTGGGGGGGGGAGAGCAAGACATAAAAGATAATACTTTGGGGGTGCAGGCATCTGTAATTATTATTATTATTGTTATTGTTATTGTTGTTGTTTGTTGTTTATTTATTTATTTATTTATTCATTCATTCATTCATTCATTCATTCATTCATACCCTGCCCATCTGGCTGGGTTTCCCCAGCCACTCTGGGCGGCTCCCAATCAAATATTAAAAACACAGTACAGCTTTAAACATTAAAAACTTCCCTAAACAGGGCTACCTTCAGATGTCCTTTAATACTAGAATAGTTGTTTATTTCCTTGACATCTGGTGGGAGGGCGTTCCACAGGGCGGGTGCCACTACCGAAAGGCCCTCTGCCTGGTTAGCATTAGCTAAGCTGATTCTCCTACTTGCACTCCTGTGAGGAGTCCTGTGAGGCACACAGAATTTCCAGTGGAGATTTTTGCACCCCAGTTTTTACTAACTCTCCCATCTTGACTTGTCCCAATAGGGAACCAGTCCCTCCACCCCCACCACCAAGCGCCACTGGAACTGTGATGGCCGATGTCCCACCAGCTTCAGGTAAGGGTGGGTGCTGCAGGCTTTGAAGCATCTGTTTCTGAAATCCCCAGCCAATGCTATTATTTTCCCAAGCCTTTCCGTGCAAGTGGGCTTTTGGTATCTCTTTGTCCCAGACATCCTAATGCTGACTCCATGGCACCTTTGCCACCTACTTAATGTCCTATGTCATTTTAGTCTAATCCTTTCCCAGCCTGGTGCCGTCCATGTTTTGTTTTGACTACAACTCCCATCAGCCCCAGTCATCATAGCCAACAGGATGATGGGGGTCGTAGTCTTAAAAGCCTGGAGGAAACCAACTTGGGGACAGCTGCTCTGCACAAATATATTCCCTCCCACTCCACCTGTTCAATACTACTACTACACGTTCCCTGCTTCCCCCAAAGTCCTGGAGCAGCATTACAGGATTCAGAACACTGGAAATAAGTTACTTTCATAATATTTGCTTCATCTACAGATATATAAAAGGAGAGCCTAGGTGGAGGCAAACAGGCACTTCCACAGCAGGCGGCCAATCCATCAGCCCTGCTTCTCCATTTGGCTTATTCACAGCTCGCTCAGTGTTCTTTCTTCCTTTAAAAAACAACAACATTGCCCAATTTTCTAAATTGGCTCTAAATGGTTTCTCTTCCTCCTCCCACCAGCGGGAGGATGCCACCTTCCTAAACCCTGATGGGTGCTACAATCCAGGGCCGTAGAGAGATTCCCTGCCAGACATTCCTGGCCATTAAAGTCCATTTCAATTCTTTTGTTTTAGGACCCCGATTAAGATGGCTCAGCTCACAATGCTATTAAATATATCTGGCGGGTGGGGGAGATCTGGGGCTGCCTTTATGCGCTGGCAAGGCTGACATAAGTGGTTCCTCCTTTCAGAATACTATGACTACACTGAGGCACGGAGGTGAGGTGAAAGTCTGGCCTGCTTAAGCATTTACAGAACAAGACACAGGCCTCAAACTCTGCCTGGCTGCCCCTTCAGCATCCGAGACTGAGCAAACAGCACTGCTGTGACATGGATAGCTTGGTGGCATATTCCTCCCCTTGTTCGATCGAGGCCTCTAAGTGTGTGCATTTGGAATAAACTTCATCAATTTGTCTGAGTTGCAGTTAATCCTAAGAACATAAGAATAGCCTGCTGGGTCATGCCAAAGGCCCAGTTAGTCCTGGACTGTTCTCACAGCAGCCATCCAGAAGCTCTGTGGGAAACCCACAAGCAACAGCCCTCTGTAGATCAGTGCCAGTTATCTGAATAACTTATATAACCATCCTTCCTCAAAACGTAAGGCAGGGGTAGCCAACCTGGTGCCCTCAAATGTTGTTGGACTACAGCTCCCATCATCCCTGATCATTGGCCATGCTGGCTGGGGCTGATGGAAGATGGAGTCCATCACCAATGGGAGGGTGCCATGTTCCTACCAATGCCTTACGTGGAGATGGGAAAATCTGCCCAGTTCCCCTCACAGAGCTACAATTCCCATGGTTCCCTGGGAAGAGGGACTGACAGCTAAACCACTCTGAGAATTATAGCTCTGTGGGGGGAATAGGGATCTCCTAACAATTCTCAGCACTCTTCACAAACTATTGTTTCCAGAATTATTATTTTTTTGTGCATGGGAAGCCATAACTGTTTAAAGTGGTAGCGCTGATTTTGGCGTCAGCAAAAAAGAAAGAAAAGAAATGATGATTAAGGAGGGGTGAAAATAAGGATCAGCTGAAGTGGGAGCTGTGTGTATGGTACGTTTGTATCCAGCTTCTGTGTATTTCCTGTGTGTGTGTGTGTGTGTGTGTGTGTGTGTGTGTGTGTGTGTGTAGGTGTCCTGTGTGTTATGTGTGCAAGTGAATGTGCATGCAGAATGTGGGATGGCCACATTCCCTCTGCTCAAAAAAAAGTTTAGCCACTTCTGCTCTAGTGAGTCCCAGCTCACCAATTGAGGACCAATGGACTACATCTTGTAAAAAATAAAAATAAAAAAGACTTCCCTGGGTTTCCCCGGACATTTTAACCAATTTCTGAACATTCTGACCATTTTCAGCGGACAAATAACAGTGGACAAATCACAGGGAAATTCCAGACGTGTGGCAGCCTACCCCTCTTGGCCTTATTTAGGAAATGTCCAGCACATGGAATAAACTTTTACAAACGTGTTCCTTTCCAGATGTTTTTGTTTAATACTGTTATACTTTCTGGTCATATTGGCTGCATTGTCATATGATTGTCCTCTACATTTACTGGCATCTATTTCAAGTTCACTGAAGTAGTTCAGTATCAGCTCAGTTGTGCTTTCACTGGTGTGAAGTTAAAAAAAAACTCCAAAAGCATTCAACTGGCAATCCATCACTAGGAGAAACATTATCTAACAATGACAGCAAGTTGATCAACATGGGAAATATTAGATGTTGAATCAAGTGATAATCTAAAATAACCTGCCTGTTTGATGTCACTCAGTGTTGCTTCTCAAACTGTGTTAGCCATCAGCTGCATAACCTCTTCACATGTAGTTTTGGATAAGTACGATGACTGACCAGAGTCTTTGCCTCCATGCTGATTTATGTGAGCACACAGGAAGGGATCAAATTTGGCAATTAATTCAAGCAATCTAACAAATTTGCCATTGTTTGGTGAACCAAATGTTTCATCATCTCCCCCCTAAATGCCAAGCCATGTTCTGCCAAAAGGGAAATCACTGAAATAACTTGCTGAAGTACATGCCTCCAGTAATCCTGCTCTGCTTTTATTTGCTTTTTGAGTTAGTATGTGAGCGTTTGACCATGCTTTTTCATTAAGTGTGTTAGCAAAGTGTTCATATGATTTTTAAAATTTCCATGGGGTTGAAAAAGATAAGTATGATGCCAGGCATCAAATCTAATACAAGCTAAAGCTGCCGTTGGGGTAAGTTTGGTTTGCATACAGAACAGTAGACTTTTCCTTTCGAGGGAGAATGAATTGAGCAGAAATTGGCTTCGTTTTTGTGTGTTCACTTTGAAGGTTAAAAGGTCCGTCCCAGTGCTGACATTCCGATGGGCCTTCCTCAATCTAGAATATTTCTTCATTATTCATTGTGGCCCATAAGCCTGTGTCATTACAGTGGTACCTCGGGTTAAGTACTTAATTCGTTCCGGAGGTCCATACTTAACCTGAAACTGTTCTTAACCTGAAGCACCACTTTAGCTAATGGGGCCTCCTGCTGCTGCTGCGCCGCCGGAGCACAATTTCTGTTCTCATCCTGAAGCAAAATTCTTAACCTGAAGCACTATTTATGGGTTAGCGGAGTATGTAACCTGAAGCGTATGTAACCCGAGGTACCACTGTATTGTATCTGTAATGACTAGTAGCATGAACAGCTGGTATTTTTGTGTGTGCAATGCTACAATTTTTGCTGAAATCATTTGATTTGTTTTCCAATTCTTTAAAATGCTAATGAGTTTGAACTGCTGCTTTTGGTACAACTACCTTGTGGCATGTTCCTTCAGCACTTTGTGTTAATTCTTTGGCTGTAGGTCTTAACACTTCATTGTCACTTTCTCCAGAAGTTTCTGACAATAGTTCTCTCTGAAGTTCTTGGGTGGCTGCGTTCTGTATATAATCTGGTTGTTCTTCAGTTAGCTCAGACTGCTCAGCGTGATCTTCTTGATTTCCTTCTGTTTGCAAACACAAATGTTCTGTATCTGAGGGACTGGATAGGGCTGTTTCTGCTTGTTGTACGAAGCCATATGACATGATTAGTTTTAAATGTTTGAGTATTTCCTTCTGTTCTTCTTGTTTTCTTTTACTAACACCACTTTCATATTGCTTACTCATTATTATTTTCACAAAAAGTGAAAGTTAAATATTACTGTGATTCACAAGGATATGTCAATCAATCCTCAGTTGCTCTCAGAAGGCGTGCTATAATGATAGACAGTGAACTGAACCCTTGTATTGCTTCATAGCTGACTTTATCATTTGATTCTGAGTAGCTTTAAAGCCTCCACAAACTTTTCTAAGCAATAAGTACGCACCTGTCTAACTGCTGTACAGGCACAGACTCATACATGTTTAACGTGACTAAGGACCTGGGCCCAGATAGCAAAATCTGCCTGTTTTTTTTTAAAAAAAAAATTGGCAATAGTCCAAGTCCCTCTAGATTACGAGGCCTTGGGCCACAGCCCATACAGCCTGTGTGTAAATCTGACACAGGTTGGGACTCTCCATTGAGCCATAGCAGCCCATCCTTGAATTCAACCCAGCAGCTCTTGTTCCCTGAGCCCCCTCTTCCTCCAGCACTGGTTGTAAAGAGTGCTGACAACTCAAAATCAACATGCAACTCTCTAGTGCATGGGTAGGCAAACTAAGGCCCAAGGGCCAAATCCGGCCTAATCGCCTTCTCAATCCACCCCACCCACGGTCCGGGAATCAGCGTGTTTTTACATGAATAGAATGTGCACTTTTACAGTGGTACCTCGGGTTACATACACTTCAGGTTACATACGCTTCAGGTTACACACTCCACTAAGCCAGAAATAGTGCTTCAGGTTAAGAACTTTGCTTCAGGATAAGAACAGAAATTGGGCTCTGGCGGTGCGGCGGCAGCAGGAGGCCCCATTAGCTAAATTGCATGTTGATTTTGAGTTGTCAGGTTAAGAACAGTTTCAGGTTAAGAATGGACCTCCGGAACGAATTAAGTACTTAACCCGAGGTACCACTGTATTTAAAATGCATCTCTGGGTTATTTGGGGCATAGGAATTTGTTCTTTTTCTCTCTATTTAAAATATAGTCTGGCCCACCACAAGGTCTGAGGGACAGTGGACCGGCCCCCTGCTGAAACAGTTTGCTGACCCCTGCTCTAGTGAATTGTGGTGTTGTTGTTGCTGAATCATATCATTCTTCCAAGAAGCTCAAGGTAGCGTGTGTGGGTTATCCTCCCCATTTTATCTTCATAACTAGCCTATGAGGTGGACTGGACTCAGCGATTCAGCGATGTGGTGATCAGTATTGAATTTCAGGAGCTCCACGTGACCCAGTGCCCATCGCCACCCCAAATATGCAGGCAGCTGTAGTGATCCTTTAATATATTTATTTTAGTTCTATTTATTTCACTTTGACGATGTATACATCGCTTAACTGTAATTGTCTCTAAGCAGTGTACAGGTAATCCAATGAAGCGTTTGGTTTTTTTAAGGTAGGGTGCACACCACACATTTACACCCACCACCACCACAAATCCAGGGAGCTGTAGTATATCCATTATGAAGCTACAGTTCCCCTTACAAACTACAGTCCCCAGGATTCTATGCAGCAACTCACCCGCTTTATATGTATGGCATGTATGCAGCCTTAGTTAAAACTAAAAAAATCAGAATAAAAACTGCTGGGTTTTTTTTAAAAATATATATATATATATATTTAATTTTCAATTTTATACATTTCAATAATTTTTTACAATAATTTTAACATTTCGAAACCCGACTTCCTTCCCCCCTCTTTCTGCGGTTCCTTAAATTTATTTTTTATATTTTCTGCATATTCCAAAATAACTTAATCATTTATTCATCTACTTTAAGTGTATACTCATAGAAAACTGCAGGTTATTACAATAATCCTGCCAATGTTCTTATCTTTTTACAGTTTATTTGTAAGTATTTGATAAACCATTTCCATTCTTTTATAAAAAGTTTGTTATCTTGATTTCTTACTTTTCCGGTAGGTTTCGCCATTTCTGCGTATTCCATAAGTTTTTGTATCCATTCTTCTTTCGTCGGGACTTCTTCTTCTTTCCATTTTTGGGCAAGTAACATTCTTGCCGCATGCAGGAATAAATTTCTATACAGTTTGGGTAGTTCTATCCCTATAATTCCAAAAAGGAAAGTTTCTGGTCTTTTCACAAACGTCGTTTTAAACATCTTTTTCAATTCATTATATATCATTTCCCAGTAAGCTTTAACCTTACCACAAGATAAAAAGAGTCTATTTTCTCTTTCCATTTCCAACACTTATTTGATTTTGATTTACAGTGGTACCTGGTGTTACATACGCCTCAGGTTACAGACTCTGCTAACCCAGAAATAGTACCTCGGATTAAGAACTTTGCTTCAGGATGAGAACAGAAATCGTGCTCCGGCGGCCGGCAGCAGCGGGAGGCCCCATTAGCTAAAGTGGTGCTTCAGGTTAAGAACAGTTTCAGGTTAAGAACAGACCTCCGGAACGAATTAAATACTTAACCTGAGGTACCACTGTATACATTTTTGCCAATTTACATGGTGTTAGATACCATCAATATAACATTTTCATATAATTTTAACCATAGCATGCTATAAATTTTATATCTGTATTCCACAATCGTTCCCATGCTTCCATATCTATATTATAACCAATATCTATTGCCCAATGTATCATTGAGGATTTTACTTGTCCATCCTTTGTCTCCCATTCCAATAGTATCTTATACATTTTAGACAACACTTTTATGTTACATTCCAACAGATCTCTCTCCAATTTTGATGTTTGTTCACCCTACCCTCGTATCCTATCTTTCTTAAATACTTTGTTCAAATGATGCTATTGTATCCATGTTGTTAATTTTCCCGATCCTTAAAGACTCACTAGGTGTTTTTCTCCCCAGATATCAATTAGACTTAAATTGTCTGTCATCTTGGGTAGCTTCCCTTCTTTTGTATCGCTTTTTCTTATAGTCCTATCGCATTCCAGGGAAGCTACACCATTCACATCTTCCATCAAAATTATCCTTTCATTCATATATTCAAATAGAATTTCTTCAAGTCTCATAAAAGTCAGTTTTTTCCTCATTTGGTGCATATACACCTATTAGCAATAGTATTTCTCCTTGTGTTGTTATCTGTATTATCAATATTCTTCCTTGCTCGTCTTTAATTAATTGCTTTGGATCTAATTCAGGTTTTATATACATTATCACGCCTCTCTTATTTATTACATCAGAGGCCACAAAGTCCCTTCCCAATCTTTTATTGATCAAAATTATTCTAAGTTTCCGATGTGTGTTTCCTGAAATCAAGTCACGTCCAAATTTAACCTTTCTTATCTTTATACATCACAGAGACTAGGACTTGCCGATCAGAAGGTCGGCGGTTTCAATCCCTGCGACGGGGTGAGCTCCCATTGCTTGGTCACTGTTCCTACCAACCTAGCAGTTTGAAAGCATGTCAAAGTGCAAGTAGATAAATAGGTACCGCTCCAGCGGGAAGGTAAACGGCGTTTCCGTGCGCTGCTCTGGTTCGCCAGAAGTGGGTTAGTCATGCTGGCCACATGACCCGGAAGCTGTACGCCGGCTCCCTCGGCCAGTAAAGCGAGATGAGCGCTGCAACCCCAGAGTCGGTCACGACTGCACCTAATGGTCAGGGGTCCCTTTACCTTTTATCTTTATACGTATGGCCTGTATAGTTTATCCATCGCAAAGCTACAATTCACGTAACAAACTACAGGCCCGCAGGATTCTCTGCAGCAACTCACCTGCTTTATAGGTATGGCATGTATGCAGCCTTAGTTAAAACTAAGCAATCAGAATACAAACTGCTGAAAGTTGTTGTTGGTGTTGTTGTTGTTTTTTTTTAAAAAAACTTCAGTCGGTGCCAGAGGTCTAGCAGGGAGGACATGCAGAAAGAAGACACAGCTTCTCATTCCACTCCGCCCCACCGCAGTGCAGAGAGAAAGACTGAATCTTTCACTCACCTGGTGAGCAGAGGATTAAGTGCTGCTAGATCCTGTGGTGTAAGTACATTCCTTACAGATGCTGCCCGCCTTGTCTTCTCCCCTCCTGCCTAAACACTCCACTTTTGGCCAGCCCTGGATCAGTTCAGGTGGGGTGATCTGGGCTGCCTCAATCCTATCTGGCCAAAGCTTGATCCACCCAGAACGACCTGGTTTCCGTGCTGAGTCCAAGCTTTAGTTCATAGTCCTAGTTTGAACTAAATGCAGAGGCAAGAGGAAAACAGGATTGTAAAAGCTGTTAAGTGTAGGACTTCATAGGCTTTAGGGATTAATTTTAAATCCTATTATAATGTGGTCTTCATCAGACAAGGAGGCTCTCCTGAAATGATTCAAGATGGGTGTCAGTAAGCATATAAATAAACTTCCAGCCCCACCTAGTTTTCTCATATGGTTTCTCTTCTGAGGCAAGTTGTGCCCTGACTGACCCCTTATCATTTATCCCTGGTGGCCGTCATTATCTATAGTTTATTAGAGTTTTCACATTATTGCAGCTAAAACATAATTTGGGTAATTCCATGACAATCCCAGCTTACAGACTCATTTTTCATTTCCATATACAAGTTAACAAATTCTATATCATTTTAAATATAATTTCCCCAAGTTTCATTACCCGGAAATGTTTTTCAGAATGGCATTTTACACGTGAGTAAGGCAACCAGAAGTATGACATGCAAGATGACTCAGAATTTCCCCCCCCTCTTCAGTTAAAGACTTCTCCAAGAAAGCAATAAATAGGTTAATGTCATTTTATTGTACTGAATGTTTTGCTTTCTCATTTGGTGAGCTGACATTGATTACAGAAATACATACTCCCCCCGCAGCAACAACAATGAAAATAAAAAACTATGTTTTGCTGTTTTTCTCTTATTTGAATTTCTTAGCATTGAGAAAATGTGTTGAAGTATTACTTGCAATGAGTTTTACACACAGAATTTCTTGTGACCAACGCAACACCACAGTGTGCTACATAATGTGTTGTCATGTTTGTCATTGACATCTCTTTTTAGGACTGGCACAATTCCTTCCCTGATTATTTTAGAAACCCTATTATTTGTACCATACCATCAATTTAGTGCAGTGGTTTTCAACCAGTGTGCCGTGGCACCCTAGGGTGCCTTGAATGATGGCCAGGGGTGCCGCGGGCAACACTGCCCTCTGTCCCTCTTTCCTTCCCTCCCTCTTCTGATTCCCTCTCATGTCTCTGCCTCCCAAACGCTTGTACAGCTGTTTATTGCAGCAGCCCTGGTTATAAACTCCGCAAGCGAATGGTACCTCTGGGTGGCACCTCTATTTCGGACGGGAGGGAGGCAGCTCGGAGACCAGTGACGGTGGCAGCATCTGCCCGGAGGACTCCCAAGGAGAGGGGAGGGGAGAGGAGCCTGAGGGGACTCTCCCCAAGGGAGGGTGTTCGAAAAGGGGTGAGAGGCTGCCAGCTCTGCAAGCAAGGGGTGACATATAATAATAATAATACCTTTATTGTCATTGTACAACCTATATACAATGAAATTAAACGAACCTCCCCCCAAAAAAAACACTCAATCTCTTATCGAACCACACACCACCTCGCAAGTCAATTTCGCTATGTTATTTTCCATTCTTAGACATAACTGGAATCCTAAGCAGAAATAATGTAGTTGGTTAAGGGAGCCATGGACTCAAAAAGATTGAAAACCTCTGATATAAAGCACGCCCCCCCAAAGAAGTGCAAGTAGATAAATAGGTACCGCTCCGGTGGGAAGGTAAATGGCGTTTCCATGTGCTGCTCTGGTTTCAGTGTTCTGTTGTGCCAGAAACGGCTTAGTCATGCTGGTCACATGACCTGGAAAAATTGTCTGCAGACAAACGCCGGCTCCCTCGGCCTGTAAAGCGAGATGAGCACCGGCAACCCCAGAGTCGTCTGCGACCGGACTTAACTGTCAGGGGTCCTTTACCTTTACTTTTTAATCATTATTATTTATTGATTTTCTATACTGCCCTCTATAGGCTTCATTTGGGAAGCTTATTCCATTTTAAAAGGATGCAGTTCTTAATTACAACATATTAATTATAGATATACATTACCACCTCCAGGTGTTTCCAGATTCTCTGATAAACAAATTCAGGAACATTCAGCTGTGAATCACACTTGATAACAGAATGTAGTCTAATCCGATTAAAATTTATTACAGGTGAAAATGAACAACTCCTAAACTCTTGATCAGTTTGAACACAGAAAAGTCTCTATAATGGCCATGCTTACATGTATAATAATAGTTTGGTAAATGCAAAATCAAGTCAAGGTAGCCTATGAATATAAAAAAAATCTGCACCATGTATAAAGCAACTTACAATATAACTTTATAAAAACCAGCTCATAATCAAATGGCCAATACATGGGTGAATTCCATGGTAAGAATAACAAGGAAAAGGATGGAAAGCAAAACAGCCAATATCATAATTCCTTGATACAAATCTATGGTGCAACCACATTTGATAGACTCTGTCCAGGTCTGGTCACAGCACCTTAAAAATGATATTGTACAGCTGGAAAAAGGGCAGAAAAAGGGCAACGCCCTTTTTATTTTTAAATCACACAACCAGATTCAGGTCTTGGGACACTTAGAGTATACACTTGCCAAGATCTGTTTAGGTTCTTGTCTAGGATTGGCCTGGGTGTTCTGATTCCTTCTATTCAGGCAATGTTCCTGGGTTGCTAACATAGGAGCCAACTCCTAGGGGCCAAGGTCCCTTCGCATGTGCCCCCATAAAATATTTGAGGGGGCTGGACCTTCCCAAAGTTGATGGGCAACACCATTAAAATGGTGTGTGCAGGCACATTATGTGATCAATTTTCAGGACGGCGCTTACTTGGGCCCCCGAAATATTTTATCCAAGCAGGGTCCCCCCTCCCATGCTTTTCCCTGGAAAACCTGCACTTTACCTCTGAATCAGAGCAATCAGCAATTGCTGTTTGCTCCGATTCAGCAATAAAGTGCAGGTTTTCCTGGACAAAGCCCCAGGACCAAACAACAACATGGCGTTTTTAAAGCCAAGACCTGTGCCAAAGGAAATCTGGATGAGCCCAAACCAAAGTGTCCCAGTGCAAGGAACAGTGCCCCTTTAATCCCTACATGAACGAACCAGAAAGATGTGCATCCTCTGGCCAGATCTAAAAGATACATTTCCGTAATATACTCAAGCAAATCCACAAAGGGCCCAGGACTACAGTTCTGTTCCTGTGCACTGCATCATTATAAGACACTGGAAACTGACACCAGATTGTCATAAATGACCCAAACATTGCAGAAGTGTCCCTGACCCTGTGCTTTTCAAACGTTCTAAAGCAAAATATTCACCCCATTAAGCAACTATGTATGTTAAACTCAATACAAATTGCTTTGGTCAGAATACTGGATAAAATCCTGATACAAAGTCAGACTGACTCAGTGTGCTTTGGCCCTCCTACACCAATACTTTCAATACTCTTGTACACGACACTCCCACAAATCCCTGGACTTAGGATATTTGCAGTATCAATATGAAGGCCATCCCTCTTCTCCACCCTGGGATGTTCAACTGCTTTGAATGTTGCAACACTAAGAATATAAAAGCACTTGTTGACCTTCCTCAAGGCTGCAAATCTCCACGTTTGCTCTGCTTTCATCTGGCACCATCATGGAGCTGTTTGAGTGGACCCTGTTTTTACTCATCGTCTTGCTAATTGGGGTCCTTTTCTTTTCCCAAAGGAGTGATGTCTACTGCAAGATGGTGCTTTTCTATGGCTGGATTGCAGTGATGAGCATCCTAGTGCCCCCTTGGGTAGCTCTAATCAGGGGGTCTAGAGTGGAAAACCTGAAGTGAGTAGGCAGCCTTGGCTGTACCCGCATCTTTTTGGGATGGTCACATCTCTGGGAACAAGGTGGTACCAGGCACATCTACCTGTTCCTCTTGAAACAGGCCAGGGATGCTTGGGAACAGGATAATCATTTGAAATACTGTGTATCCCATTCTGGTTGATACCAGTCAAGAAAGTTATGGTGGAATTAGAAAAAGTGCTGGAAAGGGAACTAGGCAAGGATGCCCTTTATCTCCTTTACTCTTTATATTGGTGTTAGAGATATTAATGAATAAAATTAGAAGAGATGAGAATATAAAAGGGATTGTGATGGGGGGGGGAGTATAAAGTAAGAGCCTTCACGGACAATTTGATCATCACTACTGAAAATCCAATAGAATGTATTCCAAGAGCAATAGAATGTATAAATGAATTTGGACACCTAGCTGGCTTTAAGATAAATTTTAAGCTAGTTGGAAAAATAAAGTAGCGTAACAAGAATGGCTGGAAGTCAAGTCACTTGGTGGGTGTCCGTGGCAGGTAAGTGTGTAGGTATGTTGATATGTACAGTATAGGTAAGTATTATATAGAATAATGTAGGTATGTTTTATGTTATGAAAATAAGGGAGTGTGTTGTGTATGTGTATTGTGTAAATGTACAGTGGTACCTCTGGTTACGTACTTAAATCGTTCCGGAGGTCCGTTCTTAACCTGAAACTGTTCTTAACCTGAAGTACCACTTTAGCTAATGGGGCCTAGCGCTGCTGCCACTGCACAATTTCTGTTCTCATCCTGAAGCAAAGTTCTTAACCCAAGGTACTATTTCTGGGTTAGTGGAGACTGTAACCTGAAGTGTATGTAACCCGAGGTACCACTGCATATGTATGTGTTTTATATGTTAAAAAATTTTAAATAGAAAAAATAGAAAAAGGGCTGGAAAGGAAACCAAAATTATCAAGAAGCTGGAGCAGCTCTCCTGTGACAAAAGGTTACAGCATGGGGGTGCTGGACTACAGCTCCCACAATCCCTGACCATTGGTTACACCAGCTGGGATTGATGGGATTCGGAGTCCAGCAGCAAGGAAAAGCCACAGGGTCCCCATCTCTATCTTAGTCTGTGAGAGACTAACAACTGGCAGCTTTAGCATTCAACAGCAAAGTGGGAGTTGCGACAATTGAAGGTGGCAGGGAGGGGATTGTATTTCCTTCTTCCCAGTAATTCATCTCTTATATTGTATTTTGTACAGAGCAGTTTTCTGAGGAGGCAAGGTATGAACACTCAAATAAATGCAGTTCCTTGTCCACACTGCCTGCCTGTTTTCTGCCCCCTGCAGGATTCTTTGCTTCATGATGCGGCAAGTCAGATATTTACTTGGCGTCAAGATCATAGTTCATGGCTCCGAGAATCTGAATACCAAGGGGCCGTATATGGTTGTTGCCAACCATCAGACCATTCTTGATGTTCTGGGTATGTTGCTAGCCTGTGGCTTTCGCAATTTTGCACTGAAACGTATTTTGGAAAAGATGTGAATTTTATTAGGAGCATAATCCAGGCCCAGATTCAAGGGACGAGTGTCCTGGGGGGGGGCAGGTTGGGGGGGCAGAAGGCGACACCCTGCTCTGCTTCCTGCCTATGATGCAGATGAAGTGTGGGAGAAGGAAAGAGAGGGTGTGCTGCAGGACCTGCTCAGTGACTCTTCATCTTCTCCCTCCCCCCCCCAGCCACTTATCTAACCCCAGCTTCCCTCAGGGCTACCCCACCTCCTTCTTCCTCATCACTGGGACATCAACAGGCCCTCACACCTCCATCAACCCTCCACCATCTTAACCACAAATCTCTTCTCCGTCCTCCAGGGGCATAGACACCAACTCTCTGGGGTCCTGTTCCCTTCAGCCGCCCCAATAAAATATTTAGCCACCCCACCCCCCCATTTTCTGCAAATTTCTGCATCCCTGCCCTCATCCCTCTCTTGGGCAGCCACCTCTCCAGCAGCCAGGGGCCACCCTCTTTTCCTGGCTGTCCTACCATTGCTTTTTGCTATTTCCAAGCTCATCTGAGCCAGGGCAGCGGGAGAGGTAAGCGGGCAGCAGGCAGGTGAACAGACAGAAAGGTCTTGCGTACGGGTAGGAGCCAAGAGGCAAGTGGGCAGTGGGGGAGTCCTGCGTCCAGTTGCATACAGCGGAGGAAGGTGCGATCTTCAGAAGTGGGGGAGAAAGCAGAGGGTGCCCCCCGATATTTTGTTCACATTGGCACCTACGTGCCAGGGGCACTGGTTGCTTATCCTCCCATCCTGGCCCAGTCTACTGCTGTTCATGGCTCTACCTGAGCCCTGTATGTCTGCAACAGGAGAGGAAGGTGGAAGCATAGGCTTTTGCCCATTGTGGCAAAATTTGTAGATCTGTCCCTGTTTCGTTCCATCTCCAGCCTCAGGGAGGGAGGAGGCAAGATAGGAGCACAGTATGCATTTGAGAGGAGGCAAGAGATGCGAGCTTACGGCTCAAAATCAAATTAGAAACATGAAATTAAGTGTTCCTAAATCAGAAACATTAAAGTCATTCAGTTTTTTTAGATTCTCAATTAAGATGAATCCAGATTATCACTGATCATTGTGCTACGGAAAGTAAGATGAATGCAGAGCTTTTTTTTCAGCCAGAAGGTGTCATCTATCAGGTAAACACCATGCATTCTAAGAGAACAGGAAGTGTATGGTGCATGCCTATCTCGCTACGAGAAGCAAATCCATAAAATTTTAAAATCAAACTCAGATGCCTATTATTGACAATAAAATCAATGAATCCAACCCTGGTGGCTTTCGCCTAGAGTGATTGTGAAAAACTTAATTAAACGACTGGCATCATATAGACAACTCTGGAAGAAGTGAAACTCAGAATAAAACCCTTTAGGAGATACTACAATTGTACAGACAGGTGCAATAATCTGCAACAAGAGCGTATTTAATTCAGATTTAAAAAAGTTTTGCAAACAGGATTCTATTGAGCACTCAAGTATTACAAAATCAAAGAAGAAAACATTGTCTAAAATATATAATTTTTTTATTGGATTGGGAACTGATGGATGAAGAAGTGAAAGAAACCATGGTCAAATGGGCTCAAGATGTCAGACACATGATATACTTAGAGCAATGGGAGAAATTCTGGCGAGAAGATATACTATTTACCGCCTCTTATACGATTAAAGAAAATTTTGTTAAAATGTTCCACAGGTGGTATTTAAGCTGGCCAAAATCTATAAACTGAAATCCAACCTCTGTTGGAAATGTGGCAAAGAAGCAGGAACAACAGTACACATGTGGTGGGGTTGTGAGTAGATTAAGAAATTTTGGGGAGTAATACATGAGGAATTAAAGAAAATGTTGAAAATCCCAATTGTTAAAAAACCAGAGGCATATCTCCTAGGCTTGATAGGGAAAGATATACCGCAAGTGAAAAAAAGATTTTTTTCTATATGCAACTACGACAGCCAGGGTAGTGATTGCTTCTAAATGGAAATCTCAAATCTTGCCCCCAAAAGAGGAGTGGATTTGCAAATTAAATGAATATTTAGAATTGGCAAAGCTAACCTCAATCATAAGATATCAGTCAAATCAAAAATTTAAAAAGGAATGGAAATGTTTCGAAGATTATATGTTACAATATTGTTCTAAGAAAGATATGCTAATATGACTAGAATAAAAATGTAAAGTATATCTATGAATTGGAAAAGAGAAGATATAAAAGAAACACAAAGAATGATACATTTGGAGAATGCAAAGATAAATGTGGAAATAGAGATTTAAAGAAGTCAAATTGTGGCGGAGGGAAGCTGTGGTGGGGGGGGAGTATTATATGATAAGTATGTAATATTTGTTTTCGGTGTTTTTGGATTGTTTTCAATCTTTTTTTCTTCATTTTTTGTTGATGTTTTGTTTTTTTCTGTATTATTTAAACAATAAACAAACAAACATGCAAATAAGAAAAAACATGGTGAGTTCTGGCACCTCTTTTTATAGGAAAATAGCACTGGCGAATGACAATGTTTGGAATTCCTTTTTCCCCTACAAAAGCTGAATGCATGTCCAGGAAGGTGGGTTAGGAGCAGGGTAAATTCAGAAAGAATAATTTCTAGCCACAAAGCCTTCTCCACCTGGAGATGTCGGAATGACATGTCAGAATGCAAGTGACCCCAAAAGCCCCATTTAGAAAGTGTTTCTTTCTTTCCAAGGAATAGCGGAGGTACTTCCCGACCGCTGTCTGATTCTTTCCAAAAAGGAGTTGAAGTACATGGGCCCGATGGGCATCATCTGCTGGCTATGCAAATTCATTCTTCTCGACCGCAATAATAAGCGCTCAGCCAGAGAAACCATGGATCACATCACAAGGACCCTGCTGCAGCAGAACGTGAGAGCACATGCAGAGAAGGGGGCAGCTCTAGGAGGGGAGTAGCTGGGAAAGGATGGCTGGTGGGAGAGGAGTCAAAAGGACCCTATGAGACTGCAGCAGCCCCTGGGAGGGGCCATCGCTTGGGGTGGGGGTAGAGTGCATGCTTTGCAAACACAATGGCTCCAGCTGCTGGCTTCTCCAGCTGAGAAATATTAATTTAAGTAGCAGCAGGTGGTGGGAAAGTTTCTTTACCCATGCCCTTGGAGAGATCCTCACCTGGTAGAAGGCAGATTCCTGGGCACTGGGGTGGTGAAATATTTTGCTCTGCACACCAGATATTTGGAAGAGGATTTTGCCAGGTGGGTGAGTAAAGAAAGGATGTGTGCCATGCATGACTATAAGGAGAATGTGGCTTTAGAGCCATCTGCCCCAGGGAACAAAGGAGAAAAGAGTCTGCCCTGCTGAGGAACTGCAGCCGTTCCTGGGGGCAGAAGGGCATTCAGGGTAGGCATATCCTCAGTCCCGATGCAGTCTCATATTTTCTAACTGGTTTCCAGCTAGACCGTTAGCAGCTTGAGTGACAGGCCAAAATACACCAGAAAGAGTGAGGAAAAAGTAACATTGCACTGTGATCTCCAAAGATGTGGTCTGTGGACACATTTTAATCTGTGGCCATTTTTCTCTGCCCGTTTCCTATGCAGCTGAGGGTCTGGGTTTACCCAGAAGGCACCAGGAACCGGACGGCCACACTACGTCCCTTCAAACGAGGAGTCTTCAGTGTGGCTGTGAAGGCTCAGGTAAACGTGTGAATTGTGAAATAGATATTTGTCTCATGCTGGCGGATTTCATGGGCTTCCATGGGTCAATCATGCTACATTTTTGGTGGCAAAACCTGATTCATCACTCAGGTTTACCATTCCTGAACATTTGTCACAGTTCTGATCTGAGAGACTTATCAAAATGCCTACCAAATGGAGAGTCTCTCTCTTTCCCTTTCTAACCCTAATAGCTGTGCTGGGTTTTGCTCACCAAGCTGGAGATTAGTGGGCAGGGCTAATGTCAAACAAACAATGATGGAGGCTCCCTAAAGCAAGGATAAAGTTTCATACCCCTGGGCTGCTTTGGGGGTGAGAGGGAAGGGATAAGCATTAGTGGGACACTTCTGTGGTCATGAGATTTTAGGTTTCCCAAACATAATACTGCCAGGAGTGGCTGGCATGGTGCCTTGGAGCTCTTAATTTATAAACTGCAGTTTCAGAGGAGGTGGAGGAGGGCAAGGAGAAAGAACTTTGTTGATAAAGCTGGCCGTTATCTGTTTTATAGAGCCAGTGGGAGGCATTTCTTTCTGTTGGGCTCAATGCCATTATTTCAATATTTTGTGGGGGGAGGGGAGGGTGGGTTGGCCGGCCCACCCATGAGGCAAGTTGAGGTGACCACCTCAGATGGCAGGATCCACAGGGGCAGCAGATCTGGCCTCAGGGAACACATCAACCGCTTTTGTTATAACAAGAATACAAAACTGAAAAGGAATGCACTGCAGCTAAATATTATGTTCATTTTTCAGATGGTTTAATCCTTCCCCTGCCCATCCCTCTAATATTCTTAAGAGGGTCTCTTCTCCAGTCTTCAGAGAGTAGCTGGAAGTGGGGAGGCAGAAAAAGGTCCTTTCCTTCCACTCTGTAGTTTTAATCTGAAATCTTCGGCGCAGTACTGCACCCAGAGCTCAGAAACTGCTTGCGCGAATGAAATTCCCTGTCCCAAAATGTGCCTAGAACAATGGGAGTTTTGAACTCTGGCGACATCTGCCGCCTTCTCGGTGGCCTCCTGCAATGTCGCCTCTTGTCAGATAGGAGGTGCTGCTGGTCTCCTCCAATCCCTAGGGAAGAAATTATGTGTGCCGCCCAGTGCTTCAGAGCAGGCCCCTTTGCCCTCCACAATGGCCTATGATTCCCACTTCACCCCTGTCAGGTAAGGTTGGTTTGATTCCCCACCCTGTTCCCAATGTAGATCTTTATTCGCCCCAACCACCAGGGGTGCCAACTTGAAAAAAATATTGGGGGAGGCCAGGGGACTTTGCCCAGCATAATTGATTACAAGACGAAGCACACACACACACACCATTTGAATGGCAATGTCTGTCAACTTGCAGGAGGGCAGGCCCTCAAATATTTTATTGGGAGAATAAGAGACATCGGCCCCTCAAAGGTAGCTCCTATGTACCCCTCTCCTGTGCCTGATCTTCACTCACCCCTTCTTCCCTGAGGGCACCAGTTGGTGGTTTGCCTCATGCACCAAACTGTCTTGGGCCAGCTCTGGTTGGGTCAGCCCCAAATAGAAGGCTTGTTCCACCTCTGGTAAGAGTCATACTCTGAAAGGCAAGACCATCCCTGTAGGTTCACCTTCCCTGTTAAAACATGGCTTAGTGCCTTCTGGGTCTCTTAATTTCCCACTGTCTTTTGCTACACAGATCCCCATAATCCCTGTTGTGACCTCCTATTATCAACAACCCCCCAACCTCAAAGATGGCCAGAAGCCCTTTTTTTGTAGAGGTGAGTGAGTCTAAATGACAGTCTTGCTTATTTGGTTTATACACTTCAACGTGAAGTGAGAATGTATATTTTGCTTGAAAGCCTTTTCCACTCGCTTTAATTTGAATTTGAATGCTGTATAAAAATTGCCACCTTAATCATTATATGACTTCTTTCTGGGGAGGGGGGTGTTTAGCCACTCGTTTCTCCACCTCTGTACAACACTGCCATTTTGGACCTGCTCTGAAATTTATTTAAATATTATTCCTTTATATACTCATGTATAGACCACTGCTTAAGGCATAGACTTTACAAGGCAATTTCCGCATAGAATTAAGTTGCACTGTCTCTCTTTCTCTCTGTTGCTCCTTGCCACCTTCAGATAAGTGGATCATCCAGATTTTGCCCAAGATAGAAACACGAGGCCTTGGGCCAGAAGAAGTCCCTGCACTTGCTGACAGCACACAGAAACTGATGCTGGATACTTTCAATGAGATCAATGGGCACATAGTTTTAGAGAAAGATACCGGAGAGTGAGGGCCTCCTTATCATGTAAGCCTGGGAGGACCCACCAACCAGGAAGCTAGACAAGAACTTTGCTTCCGTCCAACAAGACGAGGACAGAGGAAACGCCTCACTCCACCCAGACCCAACTAAGACCAGGGCCACGTAGTGGCTCAGCTATATGACGACAGGATCCAGGCATCTCTCCAGCCCACAAGAACAACAATTCTATTTAGCAGCACTATTGAAACGTCTGATAGTTCCACTAATCAATCACTCATGCTACCTTGGGCTGAGATTCCTAGGGTTGGAAAGGCTGCTCTGATTTGTCGCCCAGCAATTCTGCAATTATTGTTAGCTCTCATTAATATCTCACCTTTCCTCTAAAGAGCTCAATGTGATATATAAGATTCTTCCCTTCTCCTTTTTATCTCCACAAGAAACCTATGGTGTAGGTTAGGCTGGGAGACGGGTGACTAGCCCAAGATCAGCCAGTGAGCTTCATGACTAAGTTGGGATTTGAACCCTGGTCTTCCACATCCTAGTCCAACACCCTAACCATTCTCCTATATTCAGGAACTGGTATTGCCCTGTAACTTCAAAGAGCAAGATGTGGAGTCCTTCTCTCTCCAGATTTTGTTCTTTCATATATGTATATGGTTTTACAATTTAATATTCAGTCAAATAACACAATATAACATTTATCATATAAAAGAAAAAAAACCCCTCTCCATCACTTCCCTCAACTTTCCCTTCTGGATCTTTAAATATTTACTACTTCTGCTTAATTGTTAACTTGTTTTTATGATCTTGTATCTGAATGCTCTAAAATTCTTATCATTTTTATACCAAATTTTCATAATTACATCTTACACTCAATTACATTCCATATTATTGTATCTTGACCTTTAAACTTGTTTTCTTACTTGTAAGTGTTTAATCAAACCCTGCTAGTGAGTCCATTTCTTTACAGTATTTCTGTAAATACAACATAAAAGGTTCCCAGTCTTTTTTAAAATCTTCATTGTCATTGTTTCTGATTCTTTTTGTAACTTTTGCCATTTCTGCATATTCCATAAGTTTGACTTGCCATTCTTCTTTCATTGGTATGTTGTCATCTTTCCATTTTTGGGCTAGGAGAATCCCAGCCCCCGTTGTTGCCTACATAAACAACTTCTTCCGCTCTTTTGCTAATTCCTGTCCTATTATACCTAACAGAAATGCTTCTGGTTTTTTAACAAAAGTTTTTTTAAACATCTTCTTCAAATCATTATATGTCATTTACCAGGTTTTTTTGATTACTTTAGAATTCCACCACATATGACAAAACGTACCTTCTTTCTCTTTACACTTCCAGCACTTATTGGAACTCCTTGTATACATTTTTGCAACTTTAACAGGAGTTAAATACCATCACTACATCATTTTCATATACTTCTCTTTCAAAGTTGTACAGGCAGTAAATCTTAAATCGACTTTCCATAATTTTTCCCAGTCTTTCATTTGAATCTTGTGTCCCAAATCTTGTGCCCATTTAATCATAACACATTTCACCTCTTCATCTTTGGTTTACCATTCCAACAATAAATTATACATTTTCTTCAATATAAGATTTTGTTCTTTCAGAATCCTAACAAATGGGCTCGACAGTCTTTATTTATGGACTTGACCTGAATGCATCAGGTGAACACAACTTGTCTTGAGATTTGCCACATCCAATCATCTGCCCAGATGTTGCAGCAGTCCAAGGTGCCCGAATGACCTGGGCTGAAACTTCCTGCAAGGTTAAGCCTGCTGCGCCCTCATCGGAAGATCTCTTAGCTGAGCGTGGGAGGTGGCGTCTGGATTTGAACCTGAAGCAAACGGGCAGGAGATTGCCCAACTTTGCATGCCAATGGAGATTTCAGTCTGGTGCCAATGAAGTGAGTGCAAGGTGGAAGTGCCAAGTATGACCATCCCTGCTAGGGAAAGCTGTGAAACTATTCTACAAATGCAGAGCAAATGTGAGAATTTGGGAAGCACATCCAGAGACTACAGTGGTACCTCGCAAGACGAATGCCTCGCAAGACAAAAAACTCGCTAGACGAAAGGGTTTTTTTGTTTTTTGAGCTGCTTCACAAGACGATTTTCCCTTTTTAAAAAAAAGATTTTTATTAAAGTTTTCAAAATATTACAAAAATAAAAAGAAACAATACAAAGTAAAAACAGTTAAAAACAATTCAATCTTTCCGTGTCTTATCTTTCATTCGCTTGTTCCCCAGACCTCCTCACACCTCCCTTTTTTGTATCCAGTTCAATTAGTTGGTTCAGCAAATCCTTTCCCTCTTTGTTTTTATCCTAATCTTTAATCTTAATATATTATAACTTTAGATTATCCCCTGTTAACAATCCATTTTTGCACATCTTTATAACATTACTGCTGAAAACCACTTAACTTCAATCCAACATCATTCTAACATTCATTAATTTTGCAATGTTTCTGTAAATAATCTTTACATTTCTTCCAATCCTCTTCCACCGACTCTTCTCCCTGGTCTCGGATTCTGCCGGTCATTTCCGCCAGTTCCATATAGTCCATCACCTTCATCTGCCATTCTTCCAGGGTGGGTAGGTCTTGTGTCTTCACAAGACGATTTTCCCTATGGGCTTGCTTCGCAAGACGGAAACGTCTTGCAAGTTTGTTTCCTTTTTCTTAACACCGTTAATACAGTTGCGACTTGACTTCAAGGAGCAACTCATATAACACGGTGTGGTAGCCTTTTTTCAGGTTTTTAAAGACTTTGGTGATTTTTGAAGCTTTTCCAAAACTTTCCTGACACCGTGCTTCGCAAGACGAAAAAAAAATCGCAAGACGACAAAACTCGCAGAACGAATTAATTTCGTCTTGCGAGGCACCACTGTACAAAATCTGCATGTGGAATCAGTTTTTAATTGCTATAACCTGACCTGGGGCCTGCTAGTTGTTGTTGTTTAGTCGTTTAGTCATGTCCGACTCTTCGTGACCCCATGGAGGAGAGCACGCCAGGCACTCCTGTCTTCCACTGCCTCCCGCAGTTTGGTCAGACTCATGTTTGTAGCTTCGAGAACACTGTCCAACCATCTCGCCCTCTGTCGTCCCCTTCTCCTTGTGCCCTCCATCTTTCCCAACATCAGGGTCTTTTCCAGGGAGTCTTCTCTTCTCATGAGATGGCCAAAGTATTGGAGCCTCAACTTCACGATCTGACCTTCCAGTGAACACTCAGGGCTGATTTCCTTAAGAATGGATACGTTTGATCGTCTTGCAGTCCATGGGACTCTCAAGAGTCTTCTCCAGCACCATAACTCAAAAGCATCAATTCTTCGGCGATCAGCCTTCTTTATGGTCCAGCTCTCACTTCCATACATCACTACTGGGAAGACCATGGCTTTAACTATACGGACCTTTGTTGGTAAGGTGATGTCCCTACTTTTTAAGATGCTGTCTAGGTTTGCCATTGCCTTTCTCCCAAGGAGCAGGCGTCTTTTAATTTCGTGACTGCTGTCACCATCTGCAGTGATCATGGAGCCCAAGAAAGTAAAATCTCTCACTGCCTCCATTTCTTCCCCTTCTATTTGCCAGGAGGTGATGGGACCAGTGGTCATGATCTTCGTTTTTTTGATGTTGAGCTTCAGACCATATTTTGCGCTCTCCTCTTTCACCCTCATTAAAAGGTTATTTAATTCCTCCTCAGGGGGACACGGGTGGCGCTGTGGGTAAAAGCCTCAGTGCCTAGGGCTTGCCGATCGAAAGGTCGGCGGTTCGAATCCCCGCGGCGGGGTGCGCTCCCGTTGCTCGGTCCCAGCGCCTGCCAACCTAGCAGTTCGAAAGCACCCCCGGGTGCAAGTAGATAAATAGGGACCGCTTACTAGCGGGAAGGTAAACGGCGTTTCCGTGTGCGGCTCTGGCTCGCCAGAGAAGCGATGTCACACTGGCCACGTGACCCGGAAGTGTCTCCGGACAGCGCTGGCCCTCGGCCTCTTGAGTGAGATGGGCGCACAACCCTAGAGTCTGTCAAGACTGGCCCGTATGGGCAGGGGTACCTTTACCTTTACCTTAATTCCTCCTCACTTCCTGCCATCAAGGTTGTGTCATCTGCATATCTGAGGTTGTTGATATTTCTTCCGGCGATCTTAATTCCGGCTTGGGATTCATCCAGCCCAGCCTTTCGCATGATGAATTCTGCATATAAGTTAAATAAGCAGGGGGACAATATACAGCCTTGCCTTACTCCTTTCCCAATTTTGAACCAATCATTTGTTCCATATCCAGTTCTAACTGTAGCTTCTTGTCCCACATAGAGATTTCTCAGGAGACAGATGAGGTGATCAGGCACTCCCATTTCTTTAAGAACTTGCCAAAGTTTGCTGTGGTCGACACAGTCAAAGGCTTTTGCATAGTCAATGAAGCAGAAGTAGATGTATTTCTGGAACTCTCTAGCTTTCTCCATAATCCAGCGCATGTTTGCAATTTGGTCTCTGGTTCCTCTGCCTCTTCTAAATCCAGCTTGCACTTCTGGGAGTTCTCGGTCCACATACTGCTTAAGCCTGCCTTGTAGAATTTTAAGCATAACCTTGCTAGCGTGTGAAATGAGTGCAATTGTGCGGTAGTTGGAGCATTCTTTGGCACTTCCCTTCTTTGGGATTGGGATGTAGACTGATCTTCTCCAATCCTCTGGCCACTGCTGAGTTTTCCAAACTTGCTGGCATATTGAGTGTAGCACCTTAACAGCATAATCTTTTAAAATTTTAAATAGTTCAGCTGGAATATCATCACTTCCACTGGCCTTGTTATTAGCAATGCTTTCTAAGGCCCATTTGACTTCACTCTCCAGGATGTCTGGCTCAAGGTCAGCAACCACACTACCTGGGGTATACGAGACATCGATTTCTTTCTGGTATAGTTCCTCTGTGTATTCTTGCCACCTCTTCTTGATGTCTTCTGCTTCTGTTAGGTCCTTTCCACTTTTGTCTTTTATTATGGAAATCTTTGCACGAAATGTTCCTTTCATATCTCCAATTTTCTCGAACAGATCTCTGGTTTTTCCCATTCTATTGTTTTCCTCTATTTCTTTGCATTGCTCGTTTAAGAAGGCCTTCTTGTCTCTCCTTGCTATTCTTTGGAAATCTGCATTCAGTTTCCTGTATCTTTCACTATCTCCCTCGCATTTTGCTTGCCTTCTCTCCCCCGCTATTTGTAAGGCCTCGTTGGACAGCCACTTTGCTTTCTTGCATTTCCTTTTCATTGGGATGGTTTTAGTTGCTGCATCTTGTATAATGTTACGAGCCTCCATCCATAGTTCTTCAGGCACTCTGTCCACCAAATCTAAATCCTTAAACCTGTTCCTCACTTCTACTGTGTATTCATAAGGGATTTGCCTTAGATTGTATCTTGCCGGCCCAGTGGTTTTTCCTACTTTCTTCAGTTTAAGCTTTAATTTTGCTATAAGAAGCTGATGATCTGAGCCACAGTCAGCTCCAGGTCTTGTTTTTGCTGACTGTATAGAGCTTCTCCATCTTTGGCTACAGAGAATATAATCAATCTGATTTCGATGCTGCCCATCTGGTGATGTCCATGTGTAGAGTCGTCTCTTGTGTTGTTGGAAAAGGGTGTTTGTGATGATTTTGTGCTGGTTTTGTGATGATTTTGTGCTGGTTAAGGACATGTAAACAAAGATCTATGATAATAATGGGTCACAGGTTCCCCACCCCTGATTTAAAGCCCTAAACAGCTCGATCCATTAAGGAACCTACTCTCAACATGCCTGGGATCTTGTGCCACACCTTTGTAAAAGTCCTTTGGGAAAGTCAATCAAAGCTATGAACAATGGAGAGAGGGATGTTTGTCTTTGATGCAATACAAGGAACACCCTATGACTCTGAAAGGAAATATATCTGTGCCTACTGCGTAATTGACTATTCAACCAAAGTTTCGTAGCTCTGGCCTGGAGGTCTTTTGTTGTTGTTAAAGGATTCCATATCTGTTAAGTATCCCAGTTTACTGTAGCACTGCTGACAAGAAAAATAAAAATAAAAGCAGCCAGAGAATAGTTAATCGGAGTTAATTTAATAACCAAACATGCAGGGCAGACACCTTGAAGGGCGGTAACTCATGAAGAGGCCTCTCCACAGACACGCCTGGTGAGCTGCAAGTGGGCCAGGATAGCAAGAAAATGAGCCCAGGCAACGTTGTCCCAATGCACATACAGTTCACGCCACCAGCCACCAAATCAAGTGCCAGGAATTCTGAAATTCCATGTGACATCTCAACAAACCTGGTCAGCTGCTGCTTGGAGACTCCTGGGGCGCAGTTCGAAATTCTGACATGTTCAAGGGTGGCAAGAGGCCTGCTCGCTTAGCAACCACGAAGCAGCAGGGCAAAATGGTTTACTTCTTCCGCTGCCGGTGTTTTGGCTTCTGCTCCTTGCGTTTCTGGGCTCTCATGTCCTTCTTGAGGCGGCTGTCCACCACTTTGAAGTGGCCCTTGACTCCGGCAGGGCGCCGGACCTTCTGCCCAGCGCCCTTTTTGGCCACAAGGTAGGTCACCTGCCGTTTCTCCTTGCCTATCCCTGCCTTCTTGTAAATGCTGTTGTTGGAGAAGGGGGGGAGACACAGGGAAAGTGGGGAGTTATGAGCGAAAGGCTTCTCTTTGGAATCTCTCCTCAAACCCAATCCTGCCACCTCTTGAGGAGAAACACTACTACCACAGGGCCCTTGACCTGCCTGATCAACCACTTTGCTGTCACCCCTAACCTTCATTTCCAAAGGAACCCTGGCCTACTGCTCCAGAGTCTCTCAGGTTTATTGAGCTGCTGTTTTACTTGTTCTATTCATATCCCACTTTTTCTGCGAAATAGGGAGCTTGCCCCGCCTCCCTGTCTTCTCCTCACAAGAAGCCAGTGAGGTAAGTTTGGCTGAGAGACAGTGACTGTCCCAGCAAGCTTCATGGCTAGAATATGGTGGCTAGGTTGCTTTTGGGGGGAAAGTACTGCCATCACATAATACACCTCGCTTGTGCGATTTGCACTGACTGCCAATCCTCCACTGGGTCAAGATGAAGGTAGAGGTGGAGCAAGATGAAGGTAGAGGCGGGAAGGGAAGAGGAAGGAAGCGGGATCAGTGGATGCTCCTTTCATTCTGCCTGGAACTTCTCTATCTGAGCTGGCTCCCTGCCTGTTACATTATGTGTGGGGAAACCCGCGTGGGGTTCCTCTCTGTGTAAAGTCTTCAAGCTGTGCCTGCGCGCGCCTGACAAATCTGCCCCATTGCCTTTCCCTCGTCAAAAATTATCTCCCCCCCCCCGCCCCCGCACTCCAGTCTCCGTTGTTGTGTGTCCTGGCTGAGGGTGAAAACAGAAGACAGGGGGGTTGAAAGTACTGGCTGCAATCCTATCCTCACCTGGGAGTAAGTCCCCTTGAACTCAGAAGGGCTTCCTTCTGATTCGACATGTATAGGCTTGTAAACTGTAGCTTGTTTCAGCTGCCACATCAAGCCAGAAAATTCCATGAGAACTGCCATAAATCACACAACGAACACTTTTATGGTGCACAAATTGCTGTTTTAATATCGTGTATGGGGGGACGGATGTAGAAACAGGTCCCTGAAAAATTAAAATGAAAGGCAACCTGTCTCATGAAGAACCTGAGAACAAGGAGACCAAAACCAGCAATTTAAAAATTAATGTAATTGTAATAATAATAAACTATTGTTTATAGTTTGTCATATATCTAGCAATTCCAGAAGATGCTGCTTCCCAGTCAGTGTTATAGTCTTTCAGCCATTGCAAATGGATTTGGACTTTCAGCTTTTTCTTCATCACTTAGCCTTAGCCAAGGGGCAGTTTTATATTTGCACATCGGACTAGATTCAAGTAATGAAACCTACTAGCAGATGCCTGTGCAGGACTTCCACTAGTGCAATGAGTTCCCCCTCCCATCTCTTTCCCCTGTCCCTCAAGTTGGCTAGGAGGCAGGGGGTAGGAAGTGTGTGGAAGTAAAAGAAGGGGAATTGTTCCTTCTGGAAAGCTGAAATGCTCACACTGACAAAACTACTACCATAGCAAAGGTAAGGTAAAAGGTAATGGACCCCTGGACGATTAAGAATGGCTGGGGAAACCCAGCCAGATGGGCGGGGTACAAATAATAATTATTATTATAAGTCCAGTCAAAGGCGACCATGGGGTGCAGTGCTCATCTTGCTTCAGGCTAAGGGGGGCACCCACCGCAGCGGTAACTGTTTATCTACTTGCTTGCATTGGTGTGCTTTCGAACTGCTAGGTTGGCAGAAGCTGGGACAGAGCAAGGGAGCTCACTCCGTTGTGGGGATTTGAACCGCCGACCTACTGATTGGCAAGCCCAAGAGGCTGAGTGGTTTACACCACAGTGCTACCTGCGTCCCTACTACCATAGCACTATGTTGACAGGGGCTCTATGCCTTAATACAGGGATGGCCCTCCAGATATTGGATTCCCAACTCCCATAAATCCTAACCAACATGGCCAATAGTTAGGGATGCTGGCAGTTGTAGTTTAGCAACATCAGGAGGGCTATGCCCTGTCATGCAGATATTAAAAGGTGGAGAGAAAAAGCTGGCCATCCTTGAAGCCCAATTTAAATATGTGTATGTGTACGTGTTTGATTATGACTTACCTCCAAAGGTTTTGAAATGTAGCAGGTATCAGATTGAAATGAAATGCATGCAATTGGAGCACATCAGCGTAGCCTGCATCCCAGGACTCAGTAAGCCACTGTGACCAGATTGCAAAGTTCTTCATGGGTAGAAAAACACCACTCACATCTGTTCCAATTTGGACACCACATTAGCAGTAGTTTCAGATGTACTTTCTGGTTTGTATGAGGATGTGGACAGGATAAAGTATTTAGGGCAATCACCTGCACACTTGACCCTCACCCATCAGATGATTATGCTGGCCAAGCGCAGTGTTTAATCCTTCTATTGGTGCCTTTGAAAATCAAGGGAGGGGTTCGAATTGTGCTTCAGAGGATGGATTACCAGGTTTAGAATTTTTATTCTACAGCAGAGATTGGCCAGTGTCGTCATTCACTTTCAAAAATGGTAGCAGCTTGGGGAGGGTGCTGAGAGACAAGAGGGCATGGGTGGGGGTAGGAGTTTAACCCTTTCCTCCCTGTGCTACTGTCTAACATATTTTTCCTCTCAAACAGCCATCATTCCCATGGGCATAGTAGCTTTGCCAGTGGCGAAGGATGTTTCGTTGCAACGATATCATGGGAAGGAAGAGTTAAACTCCCCTTTCTGTCATGTCGACGTCCTCATCAGGCTCTTACCACCACACTGCTGTTTTTAAAAGAAAAGGAAAGGACGAGGACATTTAATGGCAAGCACACCTATTGCCCATTTTGTCCTGAGATTCCTTCAGAGGTAAGGCAGCATTTAAAAAATGAAATAATGAATAGAGCGACTAAGTCTGACTGACCAAATTATGGACATGTTTCTAAACAGACAGCACTCCCCTGCTATATTTTCAATTTAACTGAAAATATTTATACCTCACCTTTACTTGTAAAAAAAAACCTGACACAGCTCACAACACAATACATAATAATACCAAAACCAAATGAAGCAATATAGCAGCAGATGAAGACAGTTAGGAACAGTAGCAATCCCACATTATAATCCCACCCACAATACCTATGATCCTTGACCACTGCCCATTCTCAGAGGGTGGACTTCCATGCAGTTACTAGACACACCTGAGAAATCTTTTTGCTGGAATTTCCTTCCCTTGCTGTTGCAGCATGGTCTAATAGATGGGTGCATTTCATCATAACTAAAATCCTACTTTGATCTCAGTTGTACTGATGAAATCCAGAGCAACAGTGTGGAAGGCGGTGAAGACGATCCTAAGAGGGATTTGTGTAAGTGGGGCAACAGGGATTAAGCAAGAGAGTGCAATGGAAAGAGAGCACTTAGAAACAGATTTTTTAAAAATAAAAACGTAGAGCAGCAGCACAAGAGAAATAGAGGACAGCATGTGCAATCCACCGAAATCTCATGACAATATGTAGAAGGACTATCTGGACTAAAACACAGGAATGTGACATCATCTTCTAGAGCAGTGTGGTTGGTATGTTGAAAGATGTGTTGTTCATGTGGGATGTATCTTGGGAAACGACTTTATACTAACGCTGATATTAAAATTCAATGTGGCAGGACATGTTTTCTATCTGGTTCAATTAGAACAGCAAAGGGAGTTAAACAGGGCTGCATCTTGGTAGGACTCCTATTCAGTCTTTACATCAATTATATAGGCTAGGAGCTTTCCTCTTCATCTGATGTTTTCTCCCTGGCAGTTCAGAATCAGAGTGCTTTTGTATATGTGGATCAGGGCCTATTGAAGATCTTGTACACTATATTTTATATTGTCCATTGTATGATTCACTCAGAGCTGAATTTATCTCCCCTTTTCAGATCGCCCTAGAAGGTCAACCAGATTATTTGAAAATTAAATGGCTGCTGTCAGATGTTGATAAATGCATCAGCCATAGGGTGGCACTATTCACACTCATGGCAAGAAAGATAAGGGCAACCTCTCTAGGTAGTGCCAGTGCCAGACCCCAGGGATGCTGACTAGAAGGAATGTTTTGAATTTTGGACATTGTAGATTTGTCCTGGTCTGGTGCATGAAATCTCTTTCGTTTTGTAATTGCATGATTTGTTTCTCATACTGTATTGTGATGGCCATTGGCTACAAACAATAAAATCCACTGACTGACATGCCTGGTCAGTTCTCCCATCCATGATTAAGTAATGGATGGCACCAGTCTTCTTGGTCATTGACCTGCCATTGCAGAGCAGCACCTTAAAGCCACATGGGAGACCCTTGTTGATACTTGTATCCTTCTTGTCGAGACCAGACTGAGGCGTTCCCAAAGTAAAGGAAGGATTGAACTCTGATTAATAAGAATACACACAGAGGCTTGAACCAGCAAGACTCTGGGAAGGGTGCGTATAATAATCTGTGTCTCCACCCTCCGGCCCAGGTCGTTTTATTCACAAAAGAACTTTTTACAGAGTGTTTGTAAGAACCAATCTGATTTCTTCTGAGCATTTCAACAAACCCCATGTGAGGACAAAGTTAAACTACCAAAACTAATTAAGCATGGGGTAAATAAAACAGAACTAAAAAGGAGTGCATTTGGCAACCCCGGGAGGTGATAAACAAGCAATATACATGATAAGGATGGCCAGGAGGACAGCGATCATTATCACCTTCACGTGAGATCTGTTTCCTGGCCCTAAGATTAACATCCTAAGATTAACATATCAGAAAAGCTACATTAAAAGAAGCTGCCCACTATCTTTGATGACCCAGGATGCCTGCCTGCAGTATGTGACTTGTCAAGAAAGAGAAATGGAACAGGGATGCAGAGGTGTGGATTGATCAAGAATCATATCAAAATAGTTTAAACCCAGTCAATGCAATGCTTTCATTGCTGACACAGATGGCTTACTCTATATTTGTTACAGATAGGTAGCCGTGTTGGTCTGCCATAGTCAAAACAAAAAAATTCCTTCCAGTAGCACCTTAAAGACCAACTAAGTTAGTTCTTGGTATGAGCTTTCGTGTGCATGCACACTTCTTCAGATATTTGTTATAATTCTTCTATATTTGTTATAATACCTCATAGCAATCCCACCTGATCACTACACCAGACCTGGAGACAAGGGACAGTCTTCAGAAAGTGACTAACCTGCCTCCTCAGTGCTGACATAGTTTCTCCTCCTTTTGAGACCAAGGACCTTTGCGGGGGGGGGGGATCAAGTCACCAAGCAGAGTCTTTGGAAAGCTTCTAGAAAACCCATTGGTGTAAGACCTCAACACATCAGGAGAACAAGGTCTGTTTTGAGATTTACCATGTCCAACCATTTGCCCAAATGTTGCAGCAGTCCAAGGTGCCTGAAGGACACGGCCATGTGTGGAAGGCGGTTAACAAACAAGAGGGACAGGTCACTTCCGGCACCTCTTGGGTGGGCACAATTGACATTATAAGAGAACAAGAGAGGCGTTCATAGTGAGATCTGGCACCTCTTTTTCTATAAAAATAGCACTGGGTGGCAATATGTCTCTGAGTGCCAGCTCCTGGGAATAACAAGTGTTGAATGCTGTGGTGCTCACACTCTCGTCCAAGCAACTAATCTGATTTAGAGATCAGTATTACAAACCCACAGCAATACTTCAGAGTGTTCCACAAGTAGGATTGGTGCCTTCACCTTTGTTTACAGCCTTGCTCCTGGACCATAAGCAGCAGCCTAAGGCATAGAAAGCCATGAGCAGATATCAGCCACCCTCCCCATAATTATAAGTAAGGGAGTTAGAGGTCTGGGTGGAGTACCCTGCCCTGTAAAAACATATGTGCATGGAAATCCTAAACACAAATGTAGTTCCCAACTGGCCCAGGATCCCCCTCCCACAAAGGAATTCTATGCACCTGGGAGCCCTTCGCACCCTTGACATACATACTACTGTGGGTGTGTGGGGTGCCATGAGTGCCCTGAATTCCTGGGTGCCAGATCCTGTTAGAATTTCAAGCTCCCCGATGCTGATTTTGTGATTGGTAGATTTCACACGCCTGTCTGAGTGGAGCCTGAGAAAGGAAGACTGTCTTACCTCTCTTCCGGTGTGTGTCTGTGAAACTACCTTCACTTTTACGATGCCCTCGGGTGGTGCTGTGGGTAAAACCTCAGTGCCTAGGACTTGCCGATCATACGGTAGGCGGTTCGAATCCTCGCGGCGGGGTGAGCTCCCGTCGTTCGGTCCCAGCTCCTGCCCACCTAGCAGTTTGAAAGCAAGTAGATAAATAAGTGCAAGTAGATAAATAGGTACCACTTTATAGTGGGAAGGTAAACGGCGTTTCCGTGTGCGGCACTAGTGCCGGATCGCCAGTGCAGCTTCGTCACGCTGGCCACGTGACCCGGAAGTGTCTTTGGACAGCGCCGGCTCCCGGCCTCTTGAGCGAGATGAGCGCGCAACCCTAGAGTCGGTCATGACTGGCCCGTACGGGGAGGGGTACCTTTACCTATTTGTTCTCGAAGATGGAGAGAACAGGTGCCATAATGCTGTTGTCTGTAAATATTCTGTAAATAAATAGTATTTTAGAACTATGATGCCTCTTTCCTTTTGCTGTGTCAAGAAAGAAGGCTAGTGTGCATAAATCAAGTTGGTTTATGTCACTGGAGCGCCCTGGAGAAGAAGGGGATGCCTTTTCCAGAGCTATGCTCACTGGGGGACGCTCGGAGATCCAGGGGGCTGCAGAGAGCCCGGAGCACTCTCCCAACAGATCCTCCCTTAAATTCTTGGGTTCTGGGTTTCAATCAGTGCTTTGAGTATTAAGGTGAACCATTGAATGTTAGATTTACCAGTGTAAAAATACAGGCTAAACCTGCTTTGTCTCCCCCTCCCGACCAGGGAATCCCCTGGGAGATAAGCCATTAAGAAACAAAGACCAGACCTCCGCAAAGCAGAGGCTGTGCCAGCCGCAAATGGGGGCTTGTTAGCAAAAACAATATAGTTTCAAAATTGCCGTGGGGCTGATGTAAGTGAACAGTTGGGGTGGGTGGGAAAAGTTTTGCAAGCTTGAGAACATGGTGGGATCAGAGCACATTGTGGGGATGGGGAAGAAACGTCTTCTCGAGTCTGCAAGTGGGAGGGAGAGACGCAGAGCCATGGCCAAAGTCTCTTTAAAGTCTGAGACAGACTTTGCACATATGCGTGACGCGTGAGATTCTCTTGGGCTGTAAATGCTGGGAATCCCATTCCCCAAACTCAGGTTGTATGTATGTGCAAATAAACTATCTAGCATAAAGACACCACAGTCTCCATTTTACCTCAATCCCAAAAGGATTGGGTAAGTGCAGAGACCCCTGAAATCTCACTCTGCTGTAAGATTGGGATGGGGGTGCAACAATATGCCTACTGGTATATGCAGGGGCAATGGGGGGGCAATCCTACCCCCTCCCTCAAAATGTAAGTGTGAATGTGGCTTACAACATGGAGTAAGGAAGCTGAAACCCTTCAGATCTGGCTGGACTACAGCTCCCAGCATCCCTGACCATTGGTCTCACCAGCTGGGATTGATGGCAGTCGGAGTCCAGCAACAAGGAAAAGCCACAGGGTCCCCATCTCTATCTTAGTCTGTGAGATACTAACAACCAGCAGCTTTAGCAGCCATTTCTGGGCTGGGACTATTTCCTCAGAGACCTGCTGGGTGACCTAGAGATTCAACAGCAAAGTGGGAGTTGTGACAATTGAAGGTGGCAGGGAGGGGATTGTATTTCCTTCTTCCCAGTAATTCATCTCTTTTATTGTATTTTGTACACAGTGTAAGCTTCCTCAATTATTTTGCTTAGGCGGCAAGGTATGAACGTGCAAATAAATGTAGTTCCGTGGTGTTCCTTGTTCACACTGACCAGCCTGCCTGCCTGTTTTCTGCCCCCTGCAGGATTCTTTGCTTTGTGATGTGGCAAATGAAATATTTCCTTGGCGTCAAGATCAGAGCTCGAGGCTCCGAGAATCTGAATACCAAGGGGCCATATATGGTTGTTGCCAATCATCAGTCCATTCTCGATATTCTGGGTATGTTGCTAGCCTGTCGCTTTCGGAATTTTGCATTGAAACTTATTTGGAAAAGATGCAAATTTTATCAGGAGCATAATCCAGGCCGAGATCAAGGGGGCGGGTGTCCTGGGAGGTAGGTTGGGAAGGCAGCAAGCGACATTCTGCTCTGCTTCCTGACTATGATGCAGATGAAGTGTGGGAGAAGGAAGGGGAGGGTGTGCTGCAGAACAGGCACCCCCCCTCCATTTGTTTATCTAAGCCCAGGACCCCTCAGGGTTGCCCTGTCTCCTTCTTCATCACTGAGATCTGGACAGGCCCTCGTGGACACCTCCCTCAACGCCCCACCATCTTAACCACAGATTTCTCCCTCTCCTGGTCCTCGAGGGGCATTGGTTGCTCATCCTTCCATCCTGGCCCTGCCCACGGCTGCTTATGGCTCTGCCTGAGGCCTGTATGTCTGCAACAGAATGGTTCGTCTCTGACCCACCTGCAGGTGAGGAAGGTGGCAGCATAGACTTTTGCCCATCGTGGCAAAATGTGTAGATCTGGCACTGCTGTGCTCCGTCTCCAGCGTCAGGGAGGAGGCAAGATAGAAGCACAGCATGCATGTGAGAGGAGGAAAAGATGTGACCTTAAAGCTCAAAATCAAATTGGTGCCAGGGTGGTGGTGGGGATTTTCCAAACTAAAAGATAATTGCCATTCTAGGAGAACAATGGAGGTGTTCATGGCGAGATCGGCATCTGTTTTTCTAGGAAAATAACACTGGAAGAAT